GGTGTATTTTGTGGGTCAGTAGATATAAAAGATCTAGGTGTATTTTGTGGGTCAGTAGATATAAAAGATCTAGGTGTATTTTGTGAGTCAGTAGAAATAAAAGATCTAGGTGTATTTTGTGTCAGTAGAAATAAAAGATCTCGGTGTATTTTGTGGGTCAGTAGAAATAAAAGATCTAGGTGTATTTTGTGGGTCAGTAGATATAAAAGATCTAGGTGTATTTTGTGTGTCAGTAGAAATAAAAGATCTAGGTGTATTTTGTGTCAGTAGATATAAAAGATCTAGGTGTATTTTGTGTGTCAGTAGAAATAAAACATCTAGGTGTATTTTGTGTCAGTAGAAATAAAAGATCTAGGTGTATTTTGTGTCAGTAGATATAAAAGATCTAGGTGTATTTTGTGTGTCAGTAGAAATAAAAGATCTAGGTGTATTTTGTGTCAGTAGAAATAAAAGATCTAGGTGTATTTTGTGTCAGTAGATATAAAAGATCTAGGTGTATTTTGTGTGTCAGTAGAAATAAAAGATCTAGGTGTATTTTGTGTCAGTAGAAATAAAAGATCTTGGTGTATTTTGTGTCAGTAGAAATAAAAGATCTAGGTGTATTTTGTGTCAGTAGATATAAAAGATCTAGGTGTATTTTGTGTGTCAGTAGAAATAAAAGATCTTGGTGTATTTTGTGTCAGTAGAAATAAAAGATCTTGGTGTATTTTGTGTCAGTAGAAATAAAAGATCTAGGTGTATTTTGTGTCAGTAGATATAAAAGATCTAGGTGTATTTTGTGTCAGTAGATATAAAAGATCTAGGTGTATTTTGTGTGTCAGTAGAAATAAAAGATCTTGGTGTATTTTGTGTCAGTAGAAATAAAAGATCTAGGTGTATTTTGTGTCAGTAGAAATAAAAGATCTTGGTGTATTTTGTGAGTCAGTAGAAATAAAAGATCTAGGTGTATTTTGTGGGTCTGAAAGATCTAGGTGTATTTTGTGTCAGTAGAAATAAAAGATCTAGGTGTATTTTGTGTCAGTAGAAATAAAAGATCTTGGTGTATTTTGTGAGTCAGTAGAAATAAAAGATCTAGGTGTATTTTGTGGGTCTGAAAGATCTAGGTGTATTTTGTGTCAGTAGAAATAAAAGATCTAGGTGTATTTTGTGTCAGTAGAAATAAAAGATCTTGGTGTATTTTGTGAGTCAGTAGAAATAAAAGATCTAGGTGTATTTTGTGGGTCTGAAAGATCTAGGTGTATTTTGTGTCAGTAGAAATAAAAGATCTAGGTGTATTTTGTGAGTCAGTAGAAATAAAAGATCTTGGTGTATTTTGTGAGTCAGTAGAAATAAAAGATCTAGGTGTATTTTGTGGGTCTGAAAGATCTAGGTGTATTTTGTGGGTCAGTAGATATAAAAGATCTAGGTGTATTTTGTGGGTCAGTAGATATAAAAGATCTAGGTGTATTTTGTGTCAGTAGAAATAAAAGATCTTGGTGTATTTTGTGAGTCAGTAGAAATAAAAGATCTAGGTGTATTTTGTGGGTCAGTAGATATAAAAGATCTAGGTGTATTTTGTGTCAGTAGAAATAAAAGATCTAGGTGTATTTTGTGAGTCAGTAGAAATAAAAGATCTAGTTGTATTTTGTGAGTCTGAAAGATCTCGGTGTATTTTGTGGGTCAGTAGATATAAAAGATCTAGGTGTATTTTGTGTCAGTAGAAATAAAAGATCTAGGTGTATTTTGTGGGTCAGTAGATATAAAAGATCTTGGTGTATTTTGTGTCAGTAGAAATAAAAGATCTAGGTGTATTTTGTGTCAGTAGAAATAAAAGATCTAGGTGTATTTTGTGGGTCAGTAGAAATAAAAGATCTAGGTGTATTTTGTGTCAGTAGAAATAAAAGATCTAGGTGTATTTTGTGAGTCAGTAGAAATAAAAGATCTAGGTGTATTTTGTGAGTCAGTAGAAATAAAAGATCTTGGTGTATTTTGTGTCAGTAGAAATAAAAGATCTAGGTGTATTTTGTGTCAGTAGAAATGAAAGGTCAATGTATATTTTGTGGGTCAGTAGAAATAAAAGATCTAGGTCAATGTGTATTTTGTGGGTCTGAAAGATCTAGGTGTATTTTGTATGTCAGTAGAAAAGTAAGATCTGGGTCAAGGATGATGGTCACAGGTGCTACTAGAGATTAAACAATTTTTCTCATTTTCTTGTTGAAGACATCTTCCTGGTTTCACAGAGATCAACATTTGATGTTTACATTATTGTCACTTCAGGTCAATGGCAGATGTTTTGTGTTTTCTATATTTTTCAGTAAAAGGCAATCAACATGAAATTCTATACTTAAATTGATAAAAAAAAATAATAGAATCTCGGTCAGACCAACATATAACTATCGACTGTCATGATACCTTCTGTTTGGCTTTGAAGCATGATAAATTCAAGTGATTCAATTCAGTGATTGGTCACAACTATCATAAATTTACTCTTTAAAAAACATTTTCATAATCAAAATCCAAAATATATATTCAGATTTTCCAGCCTTTTGTTTTCATAGAAGACTGATTATACAAAATAACAAGTGACTGAAATTGACCTATATAGAAAAGGTGGGTGTTGCAAGTTAAGCAAACCATTCTTACTCTTTTTGAAACACCTGGTGGTAGTTTCTTATTGGAGAAATCCAGTACTATACATCTTTTACTCAAATTTTGCCATTCTGTGGAAGAGATTTTGATTAACGTAATTGTCTTGCTTGTACAGATTTTTATTGCAATATAGATGAGATCCTTTTCTTGTAAATGACTGTCTTTGATATAGATAAGAGGAACTTCCCAGAGTTTGTAAAGGCCACTGTCTTGGTAATTTTTTCCTGAAGAATATTTGAGTATTCTATCTTTATTAGTTCTATATATTAATCACAAAGTTCTGTGTTACCATTTGAAGAAAACATCTTAAAAGTTTTTATAAAATTCGTAAAGTTTATCATTTTCTTCAGTATTTGCTGCCTGTTTCTGTGAAGATTCATATAGATTAAAACAATGTTGAAGATATTTTAAAACTTTGACAAAGCATTCTCTAGTACTATTATTAAAATTCTCTATTAACTTGGAATATTGTGAAGATTTTTGACTCCTTAGTTGAAGATCTCTTCAATTATTGACTTCTTGAGAAATTTTCTGCAAAAGAAAACTTGAGTAATGTGAAGAGAACATATTTTTCACGTGCAAAGATCTTCTTGTTTGGTTCAAAACATTGTTTGAATTTCTGGAGGCAATTTCATTCAATGATGGCAATTTACTGATTTTTTTTTGATTTTTTTAAATTCACAAATTGAATCTGATATAATCCAATATGGCGACATATGAATTGAATTGAGATTTCTAAGAGTATATATCGATCACTACCAGTTTCCGAAACAGTTCCTAATTATCCGGATGAGGACCCCATGTTTGTTCTACAATTATTGGAAGCTTACAGCAAATCCATGTTTGTGACTAAATTAGCAAACTAACCAGAAATCAAATATTTTCTGTAATGATTTTACAAGACCTGAAGCTAAAATCGTTTTTCTCATACAGACAGCATACGTGAATTTACCAAGCTTGCCATTAAAACTGTGATTTCTTTCTAATCCTGGAGATTTGCCGAACGATGAATTTATCCACATTTACGATAATTGCAATATCAATTCCATTTAAGATTGGCCTTCAGGATATCTTTTTCTTAAAATATAATTTTCCTGAGTCATCAATGGTTGAGATTTTGGTCAAAAAGTGTCTGTCATTCTGCCATTTTGAATACTGAGAACAATTGTTTTGGGGGTGAAATATTTGGTATTGATCAAGTCTTGAAGAGTAAAATGTACATGTACAAGAGTTATTTCTTTAATTTGTAGCCTGATATCTTTTTAAGTTTTGCTTTGTATTGTATATTTCAGAAAACTGGACCAAGAAAGAAATGTATAGCATGTAAAATAGTTGCCCATACAGCATGTATAGGTCTTCTAGAACAGGTAATATCTTTAATTACTAAATATAAGAAAAAACTGATAAACTATTCTTCAAAAGAACTATGACAAAGTTTATTGGAATCAATTGATAAAAGATATCATATCATAAATACTTATAGTAATGTTTCAAATGGTAATCAAAATGGAAAAATTTCACTCTGTCCACATGGCAAGATGTAGTTGGTACCATTTTCCATTTTGGTGTAAAATCTTAGATATAGAACTTGTTACAGTGATACAGGGTCTTTTTCAGCACTCTAAACCAGAATATATATCAATATTTTCTGTGCTTTCAGAAAAATTTACGTTGCAAACCTTCATTCCGAGAAGCAGGTGTTCGGAATTACAGAGAACAAACTTTTATGAGACATCATTGGGTTCATCGGAGAAGACAGGAGGGGAAATGTAAACAGTGTTCTAAGGTAAGTTCAAATTATACATTGGATGTAGACAAAAATGGTAAAAAGATTGTTAAGAAAGTTTTCCAGTCTGACTACTGTGAATCCAGCAATCAAATAGTCATGACTAGATTATTATGTCACTATCAAAATTGACAATTGAGCCAAAAAACAAAATATACTAGAAAACCCACACACAGTTGATCTCTCTGTTGATTGGAACTATCGTGAGGTTTCTAATTCTTATCTTATGACTCTTAATACATATATACAAAACAGCTGATCTATTTATGGATTTTATAAAAAACAGCTGTTCTAATGATGGATTTTATACAAAACAGCTGATTTATTGATGAATTTTATACAGAACAGCTGATCTATTGATGGATTTTATACAAAACAGCTGATCTATTGATGGATTTTTATACAAAACAGCTGATCTATTGATGGATTTTTATACAAAACAGCTATTCTAATGATGGATTTTGTACAAAACAGCTGTTCTAATGATGGATTTTATACAAAACAGCTGATCTATTGATGGATTTTATACAAAACAGCTGATCCATTGATGGATTTTATACAAAACAGCTGTTCTAATGATGGATTTTATTTTTATATCCAACAATGAAACAACTTTAAGATAACTACTTTATTCAAACACAATAACTAAATTACTAAAGTTATTACGTTATTCTAGTACAATACCCCATAATATATATTGTAAATGATACATATTGTTAATACATATTGTTAATGATACATATTGTTAATGATACATACATATTGTTAATGATACATTTTGTTAATGATACATACATATTGTTAATGATACATTTTGTTAATGATACATACATATTGTTAATGATACATTTTGTTAATGATACATACATGTTGTTGCAAAATTGTCTTATTTCATTTAGCATCTATTCTCAATAACTTAGTACATGGTATTCATCTCTTTTAGTTGTTAGAAATGTTTTATTTATTTTGTTTTTTCAGTCTTTCCAACAACGCTTTGCTTTCCAAAGCAAGGTAAGTGCCTTTATCTTTTGTGGAATACAGATAATTTGTCTAGTATTCCTATTTATTGGAGGAAAAATCAATTCAACAAGTGTTCAGCCTATAGTTGGATATGACATTTCGTCAGATATTTATGTGCCTTCAGGTAAAGCAAAGCATTTTACTTTCACTTCCGACTTTTCTGCCCATAGCAGAGTACAGGAGTTTTGAGTCATTCATTCATTCATTCAATCAATCAATCATTCAATCAATCATTTTTTTTAGCTACAAGTTGTTCTTGGTGCAATACAGCTTCCATTCATCCACTCATTTTGTATAACAATCCATTATTCACTCACTGATTCATTCCCTCTGTATATTGAAGGGTATAAAAGCCTATTATTAATTCATTCATTTATTCACTCCCTCTGTCTGTCTCTATCAGGATATAATAGCTATAAGTTGTTCCTGGTGCAAGGCGGCCCACCACAATAAGACAACATGTTTTATGATGCAGCAGATTGAAGAACAATGTACACTGGGTATACATGCCGGTATTATCATTCCTCCATCTTGGATTATTAAACTTCCAAAAAAAGTAAGTTATATTGTTTCTTGATAAACATTTAGATATATTTCTTTCGACACAATTCAAGAAACAATCACAAAGGGCCATATTCTCAAAACTTTAACTGATAATGATTTTAGCGTTCAAGTGATGTTATTGCTCAACCATTAAATTCATCTTAAAATGTTATCCAATCAGATTACTGTATTTCTTGACAAATCTAGATTTTATTTCAGTTAAGCTTTCGGTAATAAGGCTCAAGAACAAATTGTTTATGCAAGGTTTCTAATTGTTTTAACACTAAGGAGAAAGGTGCAAATGTTTCAAGCAAACTTTATTGGGTGATAAAATACAATTGTGTCAAAGTATTAGAGCTTACACTTCTCAAGTGTTAAAATATCTTGATAGCATTTTCTTTCACTCTTTCTCTTTCCAATTTATTATTCTGATTTGACTTTATTTTGGATAAATGCCAAAAGTCCAATTTTAATTTTGACTTCATAAACTACAAATGGATTGAATATCCAAGAGTTCTTTCCAATCACTACCTCCCTCACATCACTACAGTGTTAATTCTCAAATGGTTTTGAATAAAGAATGGTTATAGACAAATAATAATAATTATATAATTCTTACTGGAAAGATGTGACTACAGATTTTGGTCTCAATCTAATTATCTATCTTTATTGAAAGATAACTTACTATGTTTGTATGAGAATTCAAAAAAATTGAACTTTGAAATTTTATTATAATTTTACTGAACACTGCTTATATTGTTATCTGGAAAAATCTCGCATTTCATTTCAGGTTTGTTATGCTTTTGAATACATTAAGTTTTGATATAATTTGCTGATCGTTCTATGTATGCAAATGTTTCTGGTTGTAAAATAGTACCAAACTGAAGACTTATTATGCATTTGCGTTTATTTTTAGGGGTCTTTCAAATCTTCGATACGTGCCAGTAAAAAAAGGAAAGCTTCATTGAAAAAACGGCGGAGTCGCGATGACGCTAAACCATTTATTATCAAACCTATACCATCACCATTATTAAAGCCCCTCCTGGTTTTCATCAACCCCAAATCAGGAGGAAATCAAGGGGCAAAACTCATGCATAAATTTTGTTGGTTGTTGAATCCTCGTCAAGTCTTTGATTTAGCTCAGGGTGGACCACGTTTTGGGTAAGTTCATAGTTTGAAGCTCATGATATTTATTTAGTTTGTTTTTTTAGGATCTTTATATCTTGAAATGATCTAAGGGATAGGATGTCCTAGGGTCTTATCTCCTGACACTGTTTCTAGGATATCTTGCGCTAAGATCCTTTCGAGCCTGGTTTTTGTTCAGAGTTTAGCAGTACTCAGTGACATCCTCATATGTTCTTAAATGTAAACTTTCATGTTTCTTCATTACATAATATTGCTCATCATCTTTATCCTAGAGCATATAAAAAAAAACCACATTTGCTTCAGTACTTTTATAAAATATAAAATATACATTAATATACAAATTATTTTTATTCTAGACTTGAACTCTATAAGAAAGTGCCTAATTTACGGATACTGGCATGTGGAGGGGATGGTACAGTGGGGTGGATTTTATCGACAATAGACTCGTTAAATATCTCCCCACCCCCTCCTGTGGCTGTGGTACCTATTGGAACAGGCAACGATTTAGGGAGGACACTAAATTGGGGAGGGGTAAGTGCTCATGATATTTGACTGGTTATGTATATTTAGTCTCTAGTTTAGAAATAACTCTACACATACTGTATTCATTCAGTTCATCAATTGTATTACATTTAAAGATGGCCACTCTTATCATTTGACATTGTTCAAATTTTTGTTTCACCTGAAAACTAGGAAAGACTTTTTGACAAGTATCTACTATTAAAAGTATCTTTTCTTTCTCTTCCAACAAGTTAAAATGACAACCCAATTCTTGATATAGGGCTGGTTAAAAGATATAATTACATTGATATGCAAGCATTAAGAGTAAAATGTTATATATTTAATAGGGTTATACTGATGAACCTATATCTAAAATATTATGCAATGTTGAAGAGGGCCAAGTTGTACAGTTAGATAGGTTAGTATCAAACCTTTATTCTCAGAATTCAATTTATATTATTACTTCTTACTGACATTATAAGGGTCTGGATTACCAGTTGTCAGATGTTACATAGTGTCAGAGTGAGTTATCACCACTTCCCTCATTGCCCATAAACATTAACCAAGAAAGGAGACGAGTCAGTAATATTATATATATAAAACTGTGGGATAATATCTAGAGATTATTGATGATGAGATCTTAATGATTTCAGATGGAATTTAGTAGTAGAATCAACGATATCAACTGGTGGTGATGTGATAGAACCTGAAGATGGTCTAGTTGATGCTCTACCTCTTAATGTATTTAATAATTACTTCTCTTTGGGAGCAGACGCACATGTTGCTTTAGAATTCCATGAGTCTCGAGGTAAGTTGGTTGTGTTGATGATAAATCCTGCAATGTGAAATCTGTGTTGTGGAACAGAAAGTGAAATGTTCCCCTTGATATTCATTTCAATTGCTGAAAACTGCTACCAATTTGAAGCCTACTCACTGATGTGTAAAATAAACAATATTAGCTATGTGGACTCTATGATATTGATGCCTGAGTTCACAAACCCACTTGTAAAGTGGCATTCAGTGTTCTGCAAGGGTGGGCTTGCTCTGCCTCGCTTGCATCACATGCTTCACATCTTTGCTTTTTAATGGGATGAACAGAGAAGTCTTGCCAAATAGAGGTAGAACTTTATTGTTAGAAATTCAAATTGTGCCTCTGAGCTCTTGATAGTTAAGACAAATATGTTTCTGATTGAGAAATCCAGAAAGATTGGCAGATTTTATACAATAAGTATATGAGCATTATTAACCTCAATTTGTCTTTCAGAGGCCAATCCAGAAAAATTTAACAGTCGGTTTCGGAACAAAATGTTCTATGCAGGGGTGAGTATCAATTTACAAGAATTCATCTTCCGAGTTTTAGGATTTTCCTGAATTCTGCTTGACTCATGATAATAAAATTTTGAAGGAGATTGGATCATCATAGATTTAATGGAAGGGCATGAATTTTGATATAGTATTAGTAATATTATTTTCCTGGAATTGTGAAATTACTATTTATAAGTATTACCTGAATTCTGATTGTATTGGTGATTCTATTCTGAACCAAAATCAGGCATCGGAGGAAAGCACACGAGGTTTTCCAATTATTACTTATATTATTTTCATTCAATCATAGATTTTAAAAAATATTTTCAGGCTGGTGGACGAGATTTATTAAAGCGAAGCTGGAAAGGTTTTGCTGATCATATCAAGCTTGTCGTAAGTACATTGATATTTTTAAAATTTTATCTTGCACATGTAGTCAATTTGTTAGATTCAGTTTCAAACAGCAAGAGATTTTGTTCTGTGTAACAGATCACTTACATGCTGTTGAAATAAAAAAAAAAATATTTTGAATGATTTAACATATTTTTTTTTACCTAAACCTTAAATTGAGAAAATAGTTTTTCAAATTAAATTTGAATTTGAATGTATATACTTTTACACTTTCCGAGAAAAGTTTTTCTACTAGCAATAACATTAATCTCTTGTTTCATGGAAAATAGTCATTTATTGTTATAAATCAAGGTCATAGAAGGCAGTACCTCTAATCTTAGTACAAATAGCATGCAAGATTTCTATAAAGTACAAGCTCATGTCGGAAAAACAATAAGTAGGTCTCAGGTACTTATAGTGTACATAAATAAGACTTATGACCAGAGATGGTATATTAGATGTACAAAATGGCTAATGGAGTTATTAAGATCCATTAGCATTGAGAATTTACAACATCATTTGGCTGGTATTAAATCACATGAAAATTCTACCACATATCTATGAATGTACATTAACATTTTTGAAGATGGAGTATATGCCATCTTGATGAAAGCAAGGATTGAGAGAGAATTCTTTCTGCCAGTGTTCAACAATATGTATTTTTTTCCATTCATGTCACAAGAGGGAGAGATCCTTGAACTTCATTTGATAGTATATTTTATAAAAACTCTCTGGTTTTCAAAATGTTTTTCTCTATTACCTTCATTTCAAACTCTTCATTACAACTATGATATAAATATTTCGACAATTTGAATAAAACTGTGATTTACTTTATTGCTTTGTCAATAACATTGCTATCATCCATGAGAAGAAGTATGAAATTTCTTGCTTCCTTTAAGTCTGGCGCACACACGAGCTATCAGCTCAGGCAGAATTCATTTGTGGAAAAAACACGTTTGATTTTCAACTTTTCGCCACGAATGACCTACATAAATTTACCTGCACACGGAAGCTATCGTCTTAAGGAGAAGTGCACGAATGAATTCTGCCTGAGCTGATGACTCATGTTTGTGCCAGACTTTACAAGGTTGCGAAGTTTTGATACAAGTCACATTTGCCATTGACAAATACATATTACTTATTTTGTTGACCAAACACGATCATTGTTGGACATGATCTGGTAAATACATTCAGAACAACAGCCCCTTAATGCAATGTTGAGTAACAAAATATATTCTTACTTCCAGTGTGATGGAGTTGATTTAACTCAAAAAATACAAGATATGAAAATACATTGCCTTTTGATTCTCAACATTCCAAGGTAAGTTTGATTTATTTGGCTTTAATTAAATTGTCATTTTAATCTACTCTTGTCTGTCTTTTGAGAAACAGGATCCATAATTTTGACAATAACTTCAGATGAATATGTTAGTCTTGAAGTTTGGTGGAATTGATCAGTAGAAGTATAGATAAAACAGACTTACTGTATATTCAGTCACATGACATTACATGTTCCCTAAAAATATCTTGATAAAGATTTGATTACAATGTTTATTATTTTTAGATATGCCAGCGGAACACTTCCATGGGGCAACCCCAATGCTGTTGGTTTTGAACCTCAACGACATGATGATGGGTTCCTAGAAATTGTAGGCTTTACCTATTCTTCACTTGTAAGTTTTTTGTATTTGTTTCACCAGAAGTTAAGTTGTAATTGGGAATTTCACATTTTGACATTATGCCTGGTTATCTCTTTGGCTTTTATTCCTTGCTATTGACTTCTAAAAAATAAATACTCAATCCCATTTCAAATTTCAAACCTTTCATCTCTGTGAAGTTAAATGAAACAGATCTAATACTAAGAAACTTAGTCTGTTAGGCTGTGTTTAGAATTTTATTTTATGATGATAACAACTCAGGTTATGGAGAATAACGTCCTTGCGAGAAATTTTAGGCATTGTCCTGGATTACATTCTCAATTTTCAGCATTGTGTATCAGAATGATTTATGGGAAGATGACCAGACTGGCATAGCAAATACATGATTTTTATTTTCAAAACACACTATGTATTTGATATTTGCAGGCAACATTGTATGTAGGAGGTCATGGTGAAAGATTAATGCAATGTAGAGAAGTCAAATTGACCACGTATAAATCTATGCCTATGCAAGTTGATGGGGAGCCATGTAAATTACGGCCATCTTGTATAAAAATCTGCTTTCGTAACCAAGCTAATATGGTGATGAAACCAAAACGTCGAGGATCAATGCCGATAGCCAATGAGTAAGTATTTATATTTTGGTGGTGATGGGTTTTCTTATAACCTTAACCTTGACCTTTATTGGTATTGATTCGGACAAAAAAGTAAGAAATGGAATGATTTTAAGGATTTCATAAGATTAAAAATTTTATGAGATGATGGAACCTGCTATTTGAATAGATCTTTCATAAGAATCCATCTATGAATATTTTATATCCCTAAGTCTGTATTAAAATTATTCCATTTCTTTTCGCATGCATTATTGATATAAATATTAAAACAGTACAACAAATATCTCCAGACTAGCAACTTCCCAGTTGAAAACTAATACAAGGGAAACAACTCCATTTTGTTTTTCTTTATTCAAGTAAAACAGGGAAATACATATCAGAGTTTTGGTAAGTTGGCATGTACTTCTGGTTGCCATAACAACATATTTCAAAACTCTTCTTGAGTGAGGCATTCTTATTAACGCTTATATCTTTTTTGAAAAACTTTATCGAATCTCCATTTTTAGATGAAAACCTTCTGATTAGCCTGTTAAACATATCTGTTAGAGCGCCACTTATATAGTAGGTTTTATAGATGTGATGCTATGGACATTTTAGATTCATTTTTCTGTTTTTTTATTCTTGAATATTTGAAATAGAAAATCAAAACTGTTTTTTTATTAAGAATTTTTCCTTTTGAAAATGTTTTGCTTACACATGCAACATAGTGTTTTATTTTTTTTGCAACAATTTTTATGTTTGAAATAATACCTATCACTTTCAGGTCCTCATATACACTACAATATTATATAAACTCATAATCTAAGGGCAGTGCTTCAGTTTCAGTGTCTTCTGTAAAATCCAGGGTGATCAATTGGTTTATTTATCAGTCATTAAAAGTTTTGAGTTTTACACTCACAAGCATAATTCAGTATTATTAGATAGGGATTAGTTTGAGTGATAAAATCACATCTGATAGCAGAGAAATATCCTGGTTGTGACTTCATTCACTTGATGATATTGTGAAGCTATGTTAAAATTTCATATATACCTGCCCTTAGATTACATATGACTAATCCGTTTTGATTTTCAGCTACTATAGGGGAAAACAGCAGCTGTATCATCCCAGCTTTAGTCCTGATTTTGCTTTTTTCAGTCCCCCTTCTGTTCCGGAGAGGTTACGAATCCAAGTTAGTCGTATTAGTATGACGGACTACGAAACATTACATTATGATAAAGACAAACTTCGGGATGCGTGTAAGTTTTTAGAATGTTTGCATGATGCCGATGTTTCAATCAGCTTCATAGCAAAGCATGCTGGGTAATATAATCCTAGATAGAGGTGCGAGTTAACCATGTAGTCTTGAACAATCCAGGTTCATGTCCATTGAATGAGGATATTTTTCTCTGTCACTGAGACACCTTGAAAAAAATTTGTATTGAAAAAATCAACATAAATTGCCGTTTTTGAAAATTCAATTTAAACTGGATTGTTTTAGGAGCTAAAATAACCATAGTAAACTAGACTAAAACTTTTTCTTTTGAGGTTTAAGGTACTTGTTTTTTCAAATTCTTGATTTAGGGTTTTTCCAGTATAGATTTAGGATGGTTGTCTTTATTAGCAGAGTGTATATATACATGACAATTTTAGTTTTATTTTTAAACGCACAATTTTGTGAGCAGTATATAGTCACTAATGATTTAGAATAAATGCACATATCACTTTATGTTGAAGATCACTTTAGATTACATGCACAGTAATATAGCAAATGTCTCACAAGGTGCACACGAGATGTATATTTAGCATGGTTGAGATATTGTTAGATAGAAAATGATAGTACAATAGTTGACTAACAAATATAATGGTTTAAAAACTGCTTAATACTAATGAAGTTCTGTGAAGTACATTTCACTGTAGATAGTATCTAGAAATCTAACAGTTCAAAGTAATTTGACTAACAAACATTATCAATGATTGTTCCTCAAAGTTCATAGTAAGGAAATGATGGTTCTAGACTTGACTTATTATTAGTTATTTTCTAACTTTCTGGTGGTTGGTCTTTGGTGATATATTCCTTTCCAATAACCCTTTGGTAAGGTCCAGTAGTGTTTCTAGGAATCAGCAAGACGGATTGATTTATTTTTAAAATTTTGATCAAAAAATTTCAAAATTATGGACCATTGTCAGATTCAAGTGACATTTAAACTGGTTGAGCTCCTTTGTGTTTGGGTAATGAAATTGTCTTGTTGTGTCATTTAATGTAAGCCCAAAAAGAATGCAGCCTTATTAGCCCAGATACTTAGGCCCAAGAACAGCCCTGACCTGAACATGCTTGCTAGTGATTCCAACCCAATAGAATGTGCCTTTCCTAATTATGATATTGGACATTTCATTTGAAAATCAAACCAGAGCAAGTATGAAATATTATTCCCTGAATAGTCAGTTTCCAAGATGGTGTAGTTGTTAATTGCATGACACTCTTGTGGAGAGATTATGAACATAGATTAATGATATTTGTATAAGGAATTAGGGTAGAAAGAATATACTAATTATTTATTAATACAAATATTTATCCTAATATTGCTTAAAACCATACTTACTGGTTTACAATGCTTTTATAAAAACTTTTATCAAATGATAGAAACAATAAACTTTATGGATACTATTTGAAACTGTTTATAAAGATATGACACTAACTGAATCTATTTGAAAATATGACGTATGAGTCTGCAAACCATGAGAAACTATGTTAAACTATTTTAAACTTTGAATGTGTCAAACTAAGTATATTATTTGCATTTATAACTTTTATGGAAGTGTAAAAATATTTATATGTATGAATAATAAGTAAAACTATTTGAAAGTATGTAAGACTCTATGAATGAGTAAACTATATAAAACTATGAATAACTATGTAAGTATTATATTATACCATCAGCTATACCACTTGGAATCATCGTAGTAGAGAACAATGCTGATTTAGAACAGGTCAGATCCCAGATAGATAAAATACAAGAGGTAAGCCATTTATTTATTTATTTTAGAAACAATGTTACAATCCACTCTGATTTTCTCCTAATAATTCTCCAGTCTTTATGATATTCCTGTAATGAATGCAAAGTCAATTGATGTTTAGTACAAGTATTTATTATTATGAAACATGGAAGATCTATCTTATTCATCCATCCTGAAATTTTCCCCAAAATTCTCATCCTATTAGGACATTACAGCAATGAATGCCAGAGTAATAATGCTACGCACTAGCATTTTTTATTGTTTTCAACTTTTGAGTTAAGTTAATAATTTTAACAAGATTTGTTCAACAAAAGAGTTTAGCAAGAGTGAGATACAGTACTAAAAGTTTTTGATCTTTTGAGTTTTGATTTGATTTAATGTTCAGCCCAAACTCAAAAACCTTGTAATGTTTGTGTTTTGATTACCTTAATATTCTGTTTTATTAACAGAGTTTAAAGAATGGTCAACATAATAGTGATAATCAGGAATTATCTCCTAAATGGTGCTTCCTGGATTGTAAGTTACTCTCTAGTTAATCTCTAGAATGCTTCTTTTCGTAGAAATGTTCATTTTGGGTGAAGTCAATGGAAGTTATAAAATAAAATGTTGTCATAAATCCTACTTCTCTGCACCAGATTGGGCTAGTCAAATTGGGATGACATAGAAAGCATAATGTAAACTTAAGAATTAGTGTCTTACATTCATCATGAAGAACTTTGGTATAATTTTGAAACTTTAATAAGTATTGCAGAAAAAGATTTTGAAAAATATGAATTTGAAAGTTAATTTAGGTATGTTTCTATACAAATAAAGTGATTTTCAAAATTTATGTAATTCATCATTCCTTATTTTTCAGCCACGACAGCAGAACGTTTTTTCCGAATAGATAAAGCCCAGGAACACTTACATTATATAACGGACATATCATCAGAAGACTTGTATATCCTTGACCCTGACCTTGTCACAGTTTCAAGGTCATCTACATTTTTAAAAGTAGAAAATGGACATTCGTCACCAACGAACAATAATAATACAGAGAATTATCAACCAGATCAAGAAAAGGAAAATGGAAATTTATATTTTCGTTTTTCACTTCCTGTCACTCCTCCCAAATCACCAGGTTGTCCAGCTGGGTAAGTAGTTTATAGTTTTTGAGTTTTTAATGATAATGGATATAGAATAGGTAAAATGAAGTTTCAATATTTGTAAGATAAATTAAAATAGGTATAGATAAATTTTGAATTATATGGATTCCTATTAGTACTTTGATGCCAAAAGACGCCTGTGCAGAAGAAGACTCTTTCCACAAGCAAAGTCATAATGTAGGAAACATTCTAAGCTCTCCAGCAATTTAATTCAATTTCTGATACATGAAACAGGTTGACTGGGCATTTTTTAAGTCCAAAATTTTAAATACTATCGAGTATTTTTTCCTCAATGTTAAATTTATTGTAACAAGACTTATTTAGGCTTATTAGTTATATTATATCCTTGGCGCTCACTTCATTTAATCTTCCTACCATACTAACAAAATTAACACAATCTAAGCCTTTATTTTATTTTACATTCAAATTCCTGTAAATAGAAATTTAGATGTTAGCATCCATTGTATTTCAAAAACATGTGTTAGAAAGTCAATTGTTTTGTTATTCAATATAGAATTTGAATATTTAATTGGCAAAGCATTTTTAACCAAGAAATTTTGACCAATATTCAAATTTACCAAAGATAAAAGCAGACAAATGGAAGGATACCTGCCGTGCTAATGGCGGTTGGCAGAAGTTAGACCGTATGGCTGTAGAACTGTAATACATTTTTGTCCACCATCATCGAAAGCTCGCAAAAATGTAGCAAATATTCTATATATACCATTGATATAGTAAAGACTATAAATAATTATTTGCACAGTATATTATATAAATGCACATATATTATCAGACACACTTTTCTTTTTATAGTCTTGACATTTTTGCAGCTGCTTATTCTGTTTATTAAATTTTCTTATTTTTCACCATTTTATTAGCTTTCCTGGTATTTTGCCAATACATCGAAATTTTGAAAGTTCAGAAAATCTTCTTGTACCTCCTCAACCAGGCTCAAATAACAGGTTTTTAACAGACCTTTTAGATTTTACTTCCCTTTAGTCTATTTGACTGTTGTTTAATTTGAAATGTTTGGTCAAGGGAGCTATTAATGATTTTAAACATTAAATTCAACTTTGTTTTGATTTGAAGATGGTGTAATGGTATTTTTACATTAAGAAAATTTTTATGCAACTTAACACATGTTTCATCAACTTTTTTTACCTTTTCTTCAGAAGTGTTTGAATTGAATTTGTAATTAATAAAGATATGTATGAAGAAATCGGTGGAAATCATTAAAAGATGCTTTGAAAATATTTCTGTAACAACAGTTAAAATAATAACCTTCCCAAATTTTAAACATTTGTATTAGACATTGTAAATCTTTAAAAATCTTAAAATTTCCTGGAATGTTTTATTTTATATGAATTATTCTTAGCTATTATTTTATTTCAATATTTAATTCAGTAGAATGAAAGCTGATTAGGTCTAGGATTTGTTTTTATTTTAATTTTTATTTGTTTGCTTGTTTCTTTTGCCTGCTGGATTTAGTACCTCTTGTATTTTACTGGTTTTATTTAGATCCAAAATTTGAACCATTAAAGCAAATAAACCCTTATTTAATCTATGTAGATAGATATAAATGCCTGACACAGTATAAGAGATGTAGACTTTGGTCAGTTAGTGTGACACAATTCTGACCAAAAATTGCAATAATGTGATGTGACTTCCTGAAATGCTTGGAGTACAAAAAAATATTTGACTTCCTGAAATAATTAAGTTGTTTTTACCTGAATATATGTGTCAGGGATAATCTTCAATATATTCTCAATATTGAAATTTGCTTTTTATATTTAAGTTAATTGTTATAAGGATTTTATCTTTTACCTGATTCCTTTGTTTCAATTCCTTTTATTTTGAGTTTTTATTGGATGTTTGTTTGAAATTCTATTTTATGATTTCATTTTTCTAACAATCATTAACTTCCAATTCTTTTCCAATTTGTTGTGGAATTTTTTCTACCTTATGTCTTCTTCAATAGACAATTATTTTGATAGATTAATTTAAGAATTAATTTTTCTAATTAATAATAATTTTGATTGGCTGTTATATAAGGATGTATTTTTCTGCCTATCAAAATCATTTGAAATTTCTTTTTATTCAAGTTTATTAGAAAATCTTTTTGACAGCACATAGATATTTGTACCTTGATATTATTATTATTCTCTTAACAATTCATCTGTACTTGTATTAAAGAGCTACAAATTTGACCATTAATGTAACAGCATATTTCTTTGCCTATTTCAGTTCTGAACCAGGTACCCCTAATTCTCCCAGTGCTCAGTCCAAACATTATCAGTTTACCACTGTATCTAGTGCTACAGCTGAAAATAAAATCAACTCTCAACCATCACCCTTTGATAAACGTAAGCTTTTCTTTGAATGTTTTTTGATTGGGTGATCAAATAAATTACATATGCTTTCCAACTAATGACTATAAATTTATGAATAGTGGTATGATTTCTGAACTTCAAAATCATAAAAAAAATAATAAATTTTATTTTATATGGGCCATAATTAAGTGCAATACACAAGGTCATGGTCCTGTCTAACATTCAGCCCATGGGAACAATGAATGATGTGAAAAAAGACAATATTTTGATGTATAATTTGTTTAAAAATACACAGGTACTTGTGTATTAGATGGACAGATTATGTTACTGTGATCAAGTACATGACCACAAAAACATCAATCTCTATCTGACTGATGAAAGATCACTTTATCAATTGTAAAAAACCTTAGATGTGATCTATATGACAAATACAGCATATTATGATCAATGCTTGAAAATACTGAATGTGGTTCTAGTTATCATATTAAACTGTCTGTTTCATTTCAGTTCTCATTGATGCAGCTAAAAGAGGTGATATCAGAAAGGTAAAATCTATAATTGTTAAAAACTGTTTGCATAGATGAACATTTTAGAACGAGTACTACACTTCATATCTTTAGTTTAGTTTAGATTGTCTTTCGATAAGACCTATTTTGTGTGTGATTCAAAAATGCATATTAAGAGACTTTAATGGGTTCTCAGTAGGATGTGTATGTTTAAATGGAGTATGATATTTTGTAGGTGATGGAAGTGTACCATCATGGTGGACAACTACTAGCAGCAGATCAGTATGGCATGACAGCTTTACATCATTCTGCTAGATTTGGACACAAAAATATTGTTTCTTTTCTTATTGCAAATGGTATGTAATATTCATTGAGAGTCAGATTAACGTTGAATATCTAAGCTGTAGGATCAATAACTCAAATGATGATTTTGATTGCCTGCCAAAATCCATACCTCATATCTAGACTTGTGAATGAACAGAATTTGAATTTAGTTTTAATATTGTAATACATTTATGAATGAAAAGATCCATCATATAGTAATTTCATGGTTGAATTACTATAATCTTAACAAAACTTTATTAAGATTTAAGAACAACACTAGTAGGGCATATAAATGTTGATCCAATCATGTTTACTGAATTTGGCCAAACATAAGAAGTAATTGCTATTTATGTATTTTTGAATTGTTTTCTAGCACCCCCTGTGATATTAGATATGGTTGACCATGAAAAGTAAGTTTTACTCTTTAATTATTGATTAGTCTTTGATTAACTTGTTATATTTAAAACATTATTTTTTTTTTAAAAAAAAGGTCATTTTATAGTTTGACTTTTGGAAAAAAGTACCAAAATTTCAGTTTTCAATACCTTGTCTGTTGTATATCAACTGCTGGCCTAGTAAGATTTGTATTTAAATGTGTGTCCATCACTTTTCAGGGGTCAAACTGCGTTACATAAAGCTGCGTGGTACCAAAGACGAACAATCTGTCATATGTTAGTGGATGCTGGAGCATCATTAACACGTACAGATTATCAGGTAAAGTTAGCTTCCTGATATATGTTACAATCAAAAACTACTGAATTAGGTGAACGAAGTGGGAAATATGTGATGAGAATCAAGAATATGTAATTTCATAATAAATAGTTCTTAATGACTGTATTTTATTAGCTAGTATAAATATATGTCAAATTTTGTTTTACTTTTCAATGGATTTTCAATATCTATTTAATAGATTTTAAATTGTATATATATATATATATGTTTCAGGGTAACACACCACGTCAACAAGCCTTAAAAGCTGAAGACAAAGAATTAGCAGCCTATCTTGAAAGTGAGTAGTGAAGTTGAAATCATATGCCTTAGCATTTTTGGTAAATTTGAGTAAATATGTCTGAGATATGAGTCATGAGGCATCGGTTAAAAATTTTAATTAATTAATTTTTTGTTTCAGATCAGGAACACTTTCAGTTAGTTTCTTCTGAAGATCAGGAAACAGCAGTCTAGTTATAACTGGATTATACTAGTTAGAACTCAATATTTCATGTCAACGCTGGTTTCGACCAGATTTTATTTGCAAATTAACAATTTTTCTAGCTTTGTCATTTGTGGTGTTTTTTAATTAGTGTGAAACATTATTTATTGTGATAAACCAAATTAGTGAAAATGTGATACATGTGTGATAGACAGAACTCTGTTTCTTATTTTTTAAACAAAATACATAAAAGTGATGTGTCATCTTTATAAATAGGAAAACTGTTTCTGAAAGTGAAGTCCAAGTAAAGAAAAAAAAGATAAGAATTTGGGCTTGATTAGCATCTGTTCTATGATGATAATTACTATTTCAGCTAGAGTGACAGTGGAAATTGTTTATGAATTAGTATTAGTAAGAGAAGGAGAATAGTAAAGAAATACAGCTATGACAATATAACTTAAAATGAAAACATAGACAATCAGAACAGTTTGAAGAATTTCTTGGGTTGAAAATGAGGATTGAAATTGTAAGACTTTCAAAGAATTTCAGAACTTTATATTTTGAGTGCTGCTTTTTGAGGAGTGAAAGTTTGAGCTTTTTCCAATTCTAAGGAGTACTATACTTTCCAATCATCCATGGATTCTATGGTTTACAAACTAATGACTCCTCTGTTTAATTCTAAAATGTAAAAACCATGAGTAGTTTATTCCTTTAAAATGTGCTGGTTCACTTTTTACTATCACCAAAGATAAATCATATTCCATAGGCATATTAGTGAAATAGTTTTATCTTGATTTGTGTAAAATTGTATATCAGTTGTTAATTACTGAAACATCCAGAAATTGTGATTCTAATATTTCATAAAAATTTCCAGTACTTTAAGATATTATTCTAAACCTAATTTTATTGTAATGTTTCAAAGAGAATACTTAGTCTAATTCTACTACCTCTATAGCTGATTGGGTTTGTTGGTGAACTTGGTATGCAGATGTTCAGTTTTTGGGTATAATTTTGACTAATGTTCATGACATCCCTTTATCTTTATTGAACTCTTCCTCACATACATATAATTAATCATTATGACACACTGTTTAGCATGGTAGAAAAGTCTATTCATTAAATGAGGGGTGTATTGTCAACTGTCACACACCACCATGTGGGAAGAACTGGAGCCATATTCGAAACATCTTGGACTAAAATTCTCCTAGAGTATAATTAAACAGGGTCAATCATTATTTTTACATCTAAAATTTGCATTGTTGTTATTATTAAATGGATAACTGTATTTTAAAATGTGGGTTTCAATTCAATATAATTATCTTGAAAAAGGCTCTTGGTTCAATAGAAAGTTCTCATAATCCTTATAGCCAAATTTTGTTTGCCATTTCACAAGAGTAGAGTCACATATACAGAATGCCTGAGTTAGAAATGAGACATATGTTAACTGTTTTCAACACAATGCAATGTCATTTTTGCAAATTTATATTTTGTTGTATGATAAATATGAGTGCTTGTTATATTTATTTGTTGCTAGGCAACCTCTTTAATTTTTTCATGGTTTGTTTATACTTGCTAAAAGTGATTGTTTATTTTTGTTCCTGCAATAATGATTGTGTGACTGAAGTATTTATTTTTTTTTACAAAATTTCCTGATTCTGTAAACATATCAGGTCATGGTTTGTTTCAGATTATTCCAAAAATTTGATTCAATTGACCTTAAAAATTCCCATTTTGTTGTGTTGCTGTAGGTTATGTTTTATATGGTTTGTAACCTCGCACAGTGCATACTACAAAAATATTATAGTCCTTTGTAGTTTTAATGAAATAATTTAACTTTTGAATTTAGACTCAACTGTGGCAGTGGCAATAATACATCTACTGATGCTGAAACAAAGTGTTCACATATATTTCATATGGAGTTGTGAGTGTTCTGTGTGCATGTTGATACACCAATGTTGACCTTTGACCTTCAGCCTTAGCAACCAGTCACCTTCACCTTGAAGATATTGTTATGCACATGTATCACTATGGATACAAAATGTTGGGTGTTCACAACAACTATGACCACATATTTATTATTCTTGTATGTACATGTAAATATTGAAATCAAATCATTGTTCTGTAGCCAAGTACTGGTACTATTTATTTTGTTTCCTTTATCAAGGTTTTGTTGAGTTTTTTCTGTTTTTTAGGGGTTTATTTCTTTGGCTGTTAAATAGAAAGGTACACAAGTTTCCCTATATTCTCGGAAAATATTCAACCCTAATATATCGCAGTTTTGTAAAATTCTTGAGATAATTGCTGATTATCAAATTTCATCACAGCGTTGGTGAAAGAATTAAATCAGAATACATTCAGAGAAAATAATGGTCCTCCATTTCAGAATAATATCATTTCACATGTATTATTTGTCAAACAAACCAGCTTGACTATATCTATTTATGCCATATGGCCCTAATCTTGAATTTTGACTGATTTAGTAAATGTAACTGATTTAGTAAATTTAACTGATTTAGTAAATTTTGACTGATTTAATAAAATGGGACTGATTACTTTGCACATTTTGTCCAATTCTAGACACACAACTGGAGTGTATGGCGTATATATTAGTCTGCTTTCTTCAGTGGAGAGCTATAGGCAAGAGTAGATGTTCTAGAAAATAAGGCCAAAAAAGAAGATTGTAAGAAACCCTGTTTAACTATGTGTATCATTATATTTTTGTTTCAAGAAACAATGTTATGTTGTATGACTTTTTGTATATGATTTTTTCATAGACTTGCTTATTTTGTTTATGTTAATAAGGCTTGCTCAGGTCATTTTTGGATATAAATTTCAATTAACTGACATTGAATTATTAGAGGATTTGATGACTTCTATTCTATTACTTGGTAATATGTACATATCGAAATAAACATGTCTGGATTAAAATATAGAGCTCTTTATCTCTCTTTTGACTTTAAGAGTAGTCTAGTTCTCTTGGATAACACTGCTTCATAAATACTTGCTTGATGATGACAAATCTAAACTTGGCCTTTGCTAATGAATTATTGTAGTTTAAATTCGAGACTGCAGACAATAATGATTTGAACAAGCCTAAAGTAATTTCTTTTTCCTTAGAACTGCATTAAAGTTTGTTACTTGGTTTATTTTTTGATTAATTAATTCCATTTAAGGTCTTGCAAATATATTTATGCCGATATGAAAGTATGAGCAGTGAATTGAACCAAACTTCCTCATGAAGTACTGGAAGTTGTATTGCACACAATACAGTTGTGGCTTGTTTCGGTTACCCTTGCTATTACTTGAAAACAACATAAACTATATTTTTATGTGCTGAAATATCTTAATCTGACCATATTGTTTCTATTTTTTGTACATGTTTGAAAACATCACAGATGTATGAAACTGAAAAGCACAGAGTAATAATCTGTTATGGCTTTGACTTGTGAGTTACAAGGTATATCTACATATTGAATCACTGTTTCATTTCCAGGACCAGGAACAGAAAAATAGAATTTAAAACTACATGTTCAATCATTTTATATATCATGTTGCATTCTGATAACTAAACCAAACTTTAATGCAGTTTAGTTTTTTGTTTGTTTATTTATTTACTGCATATGGAAGAACAAAATCTCTTCCTAAATTATTTATGGGCTTTGAAAGGCATTTCTTATCATCAAAACAATATTTACTACTTTACTCAGACTTTTTGTTGAATTAAGGAATTAGTATTTTAATCTTAAGTTAAGTTTTGAAAATTGTACAAACTAAAAAATCAAAATGATGAAAATAGGACTTGTTGTTTAGAATTATTTTAATTTGAAGGTTATTAGATAGAAATATTAGTCAAATCTTTTAAAATTTGTAACAATATTGCAATATAAAGAGAAAAACACACTGATTGAATCCATGTTTTTTCAGAAAGAATAATTGACATTATTTTGTTGACTATGGTACGAAATGCTTTTCAATTGTCCCCATCTTGTAATAAACTATATAGAGTGTGAAAGGACCGTGCTGGCACGATCTGATATATCATGTATATTCTGTTATTAATATATTAATATTATAGGATATATTTTTATCATTACTTTGTTACATATCTTCATATAAATATATATATTCTAAATTGTCAAAGAACTAATATGGAGTATTGAAAAAAGGGCACGTTAAAGCTAATGTAATGCACTATCAAGATATTGTATTACTTGTAATAAATCTTTGCTTTTTATAGTTATCTGTGTTTTTTTTTGTTTAGTCTACATCTGTGATTATGATTACTAGTAATGTAATTTGATAATTTGTCCTGGGATTAGAATTACTTGTCAGGCAATTGTGATAATTAGTTATGTGATTAGGATTACAAGTCCTGTGATCATGATTACTCATCATGGGAAGTCGTGTGATTTTGATAACTGGCCCTGTGGTTATAATTACTAGTCCTGTGATCGTGATTACTAGTTATGGGATTGGGATTATTAGCCCTGTGATTATGATTACTAGTAATGTAATTTTATTGTTTTGGGATTAGAATTGCTTGTCAGGTAATTGTGATTACTAGTTCTGAAATTACGTTAACTAGTCGTGTTTTTTATTACTCACCAACTGATTATTGGTCCTGCGAATATAATTACTAGTCTTGATCGTGATTACTAGTCCTGTGATTGTGATTACTGATCATGGGAATGTGATTACTAGTCCTGTGATTGTGATTACTCATCATGGGAATGTGATTACTAGTCCTGTGATTAGAATTACTAGACCTGTGAGTAGAATTACTATTCCTGTTTGTAAAGAAATTTCAAATGAAAAAAACACATATAATTTTAATAATTTTTTCAACCATCATTTTTACACATTTACAATTAAAAAAGTTCATTCTCTATATCATTCATTCCCTACAAAATAAATATGAAGCAACTTATAAAAAAAATGGCAGTTATCTTTGGGAGAATATAACATGAAAATCATGAATGAATACCAAGATATTTCCAAATATCACATTAAAAACAACAAATGGATATTGCTAAATAGAAAAAATCATGTAAAAACCAAGCTTACCATTCAAAGTAAATTTACGTCCAACTAGACAAGATTGAAGTCATGTTTTTCAGCCATAGAAAAACACAATTTGGATAAGAGCTCTTCAAAGGGTGCAAAATAATCATTAGCATTAACAGCAGGCTAGAAGCCAGACTTGATTGTTTGGAGGGGCAAGTAACCTGAGGGGCAATGGTGTTTAGTTGCAGTTATGATATTGGTGGGTTGTCAGAATTTTTTAAGGGGGGGTAATTCACTTTTCCATCAGCTGATAATCAGGTCTGTAGATACAGATAAACAGGAGAGATCAGCATGAAGACATTTGAGATATTGTGTCACAGTGCTTCTACCATTTTTTCTATTTAAGACTCAAACCATGAGGTGCATTCTATTTCTAGGCCTTTCATAGACTAACTTATATTTTCATAGAGGGCTGAGCATGTTTCCAGCTAAATTAAAACTTCTAAAAGTATGAAAAATTCAGGACTTATATATTGGGTATATAATACTAATGGTAAACCACTAATAAAACAGAAATTTGTTAAGAAATGGGTTTGTTATATAGATGAAACAACTTAAGTTAAAATATTTTCTCCTATCATTTTATCCTAAGAGTTATCTATAAGCACTTTTTGTTCCCAGTGTAAAGTCTCTGAGGCTAATACATGAATAAAACAAGGGCCCCTTTCTCAAAAAATTTTAACATATGAATTTCACACTTTCGATACAATTTCTACATAATATTTTAAGAAATGCAGGACATGATAGTGAATTCATCATTATTTTATACATGGTATAATTTATAAAAATCTTATAACAATAACAATTAGACATATAAATAACATACTAAAAACATGCACTGATCTTTATCATTTCAGATCTCTAACTTTCATATATTATTATGATTATCTTCTTAAACAATAATAAATTATCATCCATGATTTTCATTATAAGCAATAGATGTTAAGCACTGTAAATAACATAATAATTAATGTATATTAATAATCTTAAACTTATCTTTATCTAAGTTTACGTTTTATATTTAAAACAAATGTTCAACATTTCAGATATTTCATTTCATGTTATTTTCGCATCATCCACGGAAACACCATGAAACAAAAATATCTGTATTTTAATCAAATGACTGATTCAACACATTCAAAAACACTGATAATATAAGCATGAATAGTCACTTCCATGATGAAAACACAAATTCATCAAAAATGAATACAATCATGTACATTTGGCAAATAAATTTTTCACTTCAATAGTCTAAAAGTAAAGGTGACTTCGTAACACATAAAATGATAAAATGGTCTAAATAAAAGTGTCCACATTTTGTTGCTTGTCATATTGAAAAGATCCTCTATGAGTTTTTTCTATGAAAGATCATTGAAATAAATGTCACTGGTGATGCCATGAACACAATGGAAACTTGAGAACACATGAATCTTGTATACATTTGTTAAAACTCATGCTGCCAATTTAAACACTTCAACACTTTTAGAACAAGTTGTTATCAGAGATTCAAAAAATATGAATGCATTCAAGTGTGAATCTAAATGCACGATTTTGCATTTGATAAGGAAAAATCATTCAAAGTTTTGTAATTCTAAAACAAAATACTTGAACATCAGGGGACACAATTATAAATCTCTGATAACAAGCTTGAAGTCTAAAGGGTTAAAGGAACTAAACACATAAACATTAAACCATAGAGACTTTTTGACATCGCGGACTCCCAGTTTTATTTTCTTCCATTAATAGTCTATCAGTAGTATTACAACCAGAGGGCGCTGACACATACCGAACTTCCACATGATCGTGATCATCTGGCGGTGGTTCATTACGGAATTTACGTCTATGATAAAAACCACAAATTAATAATATTATACAGAAAAATGAAGATATTGAGGTTCCTATAGCGATGTGTAAAATTTGGATTCCAGCTGCAACAGGACCTGAAAGATATATTTATTATTGTAAAGACATTTTAATCAATAAAGAAATAAAGTAAATATTTTTGGATGTCAAAAAGTATAGTCAAGCAATGATAATTGTTCACATTACGAGACTGTTTAAAACATAAACCAAACTGTTCTCTTAATAGTGAGCCAATCTGGCTTCCACTCATTTATAAAACAAAATAAACTCATTTTATTGTCGATTTTCTGATTCATACAAATACAATGTATAGGGGAGATAATAATTTTGATCAATTTCTTCCATTCTAATGTCATAATAACTACAATGTTAGTTTTAACATAAAATTTTCATAAATGAAACCAAATGTGACTATCAATTAGTAAAAGCTAACAAACAGGATGGTGAATTTTTTACAGACTATTTCATCATTGTCACTGTTCATTACATGCTTCAATCTTTTGAGAGACAGGGCATGCTCAGGCTAAAAATATAATTTGACACTTTATTTTATACATCAAATATCTCTCACTTCAGCCATTCTTCAATCTATCAACTGTGAACTTTTTAGTTGTGTCCACATACTTGAGCTGATATTTTAGTTCCACTACAATTGTGACTGATTGAATTATCACTAGCAAGGCAGGGCAAGCCGAATTATAAGCCCAACATCTTTGATTACTGTTGCAAGATATACTAAGTTTTTAAGGAGGGAAGGCAAAACAACACATGCAGCAGGTAACAGACAATGTACATGCAGGCGAATTCCATGCCTCATTCCCCCTTACCTTTACATTTAGGCAAATAAAAACATGAAAATGTGCAGAAACACAAAATATACAGAAAGCGTAACTTTAATATAGGGGGCACCACCTGTAGAAATGTAAAACATAAAAACATAAAATATCTAAAGTGTTTTATAAATATAAATTGTGCTGACGAATAAATATTAAATCAATTTTTTATTTAAAGAAAGATACAAACATTAATATAAACATACAAAGATTGTCAACAATAGAAATTTAAAAATTCTGTAAAATATTGAGTAAACAATTCACTTTCAAAAATATTATCTACAAATTTCACTTATTGTCTAGTGAACCAGGATAACGTTTTAGTTGGTTCTAATGAAATTCTCTACATAAAAACTTCATAACTTTGGTCATTTTATACTATATTGTAACCAATATCTAAAGGTTTTTTACACAGGCAACTTTCGTCAAAATTTTGAACATGTTGAAGTTAGGTGTTATTTCTATTACTGCAAGTAAATATAAGACTTTCAAGACTATTTCAAAGCTTTTTTCATACCAAAATAAGGCTGTGGAAAATTTCATAATTTGAAAGTGAATCATTTAATACATGATATAAATATGAACTAATAGAATACTACTTACATTCTGTTACTTCATCAGAGTTATCTCCCCCACCACAGTTTGGTAAATCATTACACGATAACGTTGATGATATACAATGTTTATTAGATTTACATTTAAAACCAAAACAACTACTAGATTCTGAAATATAGAAAACCACAAGATATTGTTAACAACTACTATTATATATCAAATTCTACATTTTCAATAAAATAACTACAAGGCAAAATATTATCTTAAGTTGAATAGTCTCAGTCATTTCAATGCGAATCTGGAACTTTATAGTCATGTAGTGCATAAGGTGGAATGAAAGATTGGCTTATGTGTATCACATTTCGAAAAAAAAAATTTCGTCTGTCAGAAGAATCCACAGTTAATAATATTAAAATTGTAATTTGTTCAGAGATATTAATGAAGAGTTGGTCACAATATATATAAATATGTAATATCAACTTACCCCCTGAATAAATTTCTGTCCAAGACAGTTTAAAACCCTGACCACCTAGGGCTTTCTGTGAACTAATAAAACTGAAATATACATATACCATGTAATTATAAATATCTTAGCTAGATTTTATAGATGATATAAAATATTAATCAAATCTTATAGAATAATATACCCTATTCCACTTCTTACACAATCACAAATAAAAAATAAATGTAAGGCACAAAAATCCACTTATATTCATTCATAATGACTTAATTTTCCATGATCATATCTACAAATTAAGCCTTGGCCTCAAACTTTGTTCTTGATTATTTACATCCTTATTTGCAGTTATCCAGTACTATTGTTGATGAGTAGAAAATTTTGCAATTCATCTGAGTGATCTATATATTTCATACATTGTTTAATTTGACCCAATATCTATATTTTAGAAGAGATGAGCTATACTGACCTAATTTTAATGACATCTTTATGAGAAATATTTACAAAGTTAGAATCAGCACTACCACACATTTCTATATGAGGTTGGAGAGAATTTTCTTCTAGATATATTCTAACAGCAGTATTTGAACAACCATCAGCTGAAATATAACACAGATATAGAAGATGCAGCACAGTCAAGATATTTCTATGTAGAGCAGTAGAGTACATGTATTCTTTATCACTTTAATGGTTCAAACTAAGGGTTCACATCTCCTGGTTAATATTGACAGTTTTATAATTGATTGTTGATGGTTGAAGGTACTAACATAGAAGACCTACCTGATTTCTCTATATTGAAATAAGCAGGTTGTATCATTATTCTATTATGTTTTTTACTAGCTCTGATCTCCCATTCACAATATGTATTAGCTTTATATTTCCGAGGATAGTTTGGACTTTCTATAACTCCTCCTGTTCCAGGACTCTGGATTATTCTTCCACATTCTGCAGGGAAAAAACATTCAAGCATATTATAGAGTCTTAAAAACCAGCTGCATCATAAGATCTGTCGGTTGTAGTTGACATAAGTGAAAAGATTGGACTGCTACTAGCGACTGAAAGGTTCCCACTGCTAAGAGCAACTGACAACAACTGCAATTTTGAAGTCATCAATTCCCTTTATTGTCCCAAATGCTGATAGTTGCTGGCAGTCCTGATGCTTTCAGATTCTACCAGATGTGAGTTGGACTGGACTTTCTCTTCAACAGATTGCCTTTGTCATAAATTGTAGTAATGAGTGAACTGCTTGTATTGCCATCTGGTTCTAAACAATAATCACTATCAATCATGATGGAGAAACATTAGGAAACTAATTCTTACGCAACATTTATGGATAAACATTGTGGTTTTATTGTAAACTACTCATGAAGTTATCTTTCCCCATATTACCTGATGATGACAATGTTGAAACAACGTGTAAAATAAAACAATAATACGCTCTGTTATTTAATTAGAAAACTTATTTCTATAACGCCCCCAATAAAAGATAATGAAAATAACACCTACTTGTGTTCATATCTACACCTTTCACAAATTGAAATGTGGCTTTAAATCCCATGGTGTTTTCTTGTGAATCAGAATGGAATTTCATTTTAACAACTCGGTGAGATAGTAGAGGTCCAGGGTAATTATTAGCACAATATTTCCCAACCACTGTAAAATTATTACGAATATCTGTTTCTTCTGATATCTCTACAAAATCTGTATTCAGACACCTGGAAATGAACGAAAATAGAATCATTACATGGCGTTATCATACAGAGTGCAAAGATGGAAACCAGTAAACCAGTGCCTATAGTATGGCCTATAACCCATGGAAGTTCAGTAGTTCATCCAATCCAAATTCCCATTTTTTTACCCATGAGGAGTTCAAACAATGGCTAATGTAGTCCTCCGCAGATCATTTGGACTGATTGGTTCTTGTTGGAACACTGGTTTCTCGCCCCTGCCAAATGACAAAATACATCTTGTTTCGACCAATGCCTTGGATCCTATTCTATATAGCAATGAACTATGTTGACTAACACATTTCTTTTCAAAATTTTGCCTCAGATACTGTGCATTATCAATTGAGTATTAACTGTCCTTACTGTGTAGAATCTGTGGCTGGTAAACTGAAGACATCAAATGATATTAAAACTTTCCAATCATCCTCTGGTCGGAATATATAAACACATTCTAAATCTTCTGGATAGTGTCCTGGATAACGGGGGGAGTTAAAACTACCAGCCTTCTGTTTACTACTGGTATATAAATAGCTACATTGTCCTTCAGCAATCGGTAATCCTGATATGGCATAATCTGAAAGACCACAAGAATACATTTTACTACATGCCTTTGTCTTATTAGACCATAATTGGTATGTTTAACATTCTTGCAAAGTCAGAAATGAATTGAAATAGGGTGAGGCTTCTTGACAATTCTATGGCCCTTACATGGTCTCCTTAGCTCATGATTCATTAGCCACGTTAAGACAACCACAATGGGCCAAGTCCCGCAAGAAGAGGTGGTCCTAGTCCAGACCGAGTACTGCACAGCTAAATATCAGTGCAGTGTAATGAGCCTCTGGGACGAGCCCAGTAAACCAGGAAAAGTGCGCATGTGCAATAATGACATTGACCCTATGACATGTAATGTTGTAATAGAATATATTAATATGGCTTGTGCCGCCGATAGTCACGAAAACATAAGTTTATATTTCTTTGTGTCTCAAAAACAAAATTAAAGATTTTTAAAAATCATTTACTTTGTGAACATGAAAAAATTAATCACGACTTCAAAATCATCGCCTTATTTATGGTTGCCGGCATTTTGAATGGTCACTTTTTTTCGGCTCCACTGACTGGATAGCAAGTGTATACTTGATAACTCACCTTTCTGGCCCAGTGAAAACAGCGCAGTGCCAACCTGGCTGAGTCGGGACCGAGTACGCTTCACTTCAAGCGGGCCAATTTTTATGGCAGTGTAAACGGGCTATAGAAATACCACTATTGAGATATCCTTAACGTAGATAAATATACAGAAAGCTTACCAGTTACAAATTGATATCTGGCAAAGAATCGTCCACCACGTACAGCACCATGTGTATTTAATGTTAATACTAATCGTGGACCAGTAGAACTTAATGCTGGTGGTAATAATGATCCACAGAACTTCTCTTTTACTTCTCCCTTACCATATCTTCTATCATCATTTAATCCTACATACCCTATCATACAGCTGAAAATATATACATTGTACATACATGTAGCTAAAATCAATATGTTATACACCGTAGGGATTAAGCTTGTATTTTCACAACAGACCTCATTTCACACAAAAAAAACATTAATCAATGACTGGTGACTGGTTTTAGACATTCCATGCATCAAAAACACTCATTGTAACTCCAAGAATACTTAGAGTCACTTAGTATCCTTTTTCAGACATCTGAAGTTCAGAACCTTCCAATACTTGTTATTTGAGAAATATATGACATGAATCATAATATTACTTTTTACAAGTCCTGTAGGCCCATGAATACTAAGAGCCACATTTTATATATATAAATAATCTATATATATATAGAGAAATTTTTTCTACAATTTATCATAGAAAAACTTTTCTGATGAACAATTAGTTATGAAGATTCTCTGAAACAATTTAATAAATTGAGTAACATATTCAGTATGGTACTTACTAAGGCATGTTGCCAGGAATATTAAAATCAAAGAAAGAAATCCTGGCTTTTTCTAGATTCTGTCTGTCCATTAGACCATCTAAATAATACCGACAGGTGACATTCTGTGGAAAGGCTTCTGGGTAATTTGGTGATGATATTGTACCATTCGATTCTTTTCGACTTAATATTCGTTGATCACATTCTGAAAAAAGAAAATATTTGTAGTAGTCTTTCAAATAATAGATTTGTGTCCCTTTTACCTAGCTTGGAAACCAACTAAAGTGTACCAAATAGAAATGCATATAACCATAAATGTCACTGTGGCAAAAACTTCTAATAATTTACTAACAAGCCTTTCCATAAAACGCTTCATTTTAGTTGAATTACCAAAAACCACAGATGGCCGCCAATTAGAATGATCTCTGCGTTTCTGATACACATTAAAGTTTAGAAAACCTCTTTAAAATTGCTTTACTAGATGTTTAATAAAATCATATATCTGAAGATAAACCGGGTTCTGATAAAAAAAAAAATGATCTACCTACCTGTACCTAATATATGTTCTGCATCTTTTTCTATAAAATCTAAAATAAACAGGTAACAAATTCATGATATATTATAATGGCATTTCCATGCAGATGTTTAGGTCAAACATAGTCAAAATTATTATTGTGGAACCAAGAGGAATATCTCAGTCAGAGGCTCGTCAGATTGTAATCGCCTTGGATATGAGATGTCTTGGAGTTGTCACCTCTTTAAGGTAAGAAGAATCTGAATTCAGGGTTAGTGATTTCAGGAGTCACTTTTACAATAAGAACACAACATACATACCTAAATTAACAAATTTATCACTAAATTCATAAGTTATATTAAAACCTCTTCTATCAAAACTAAAGTCTGCCTCCGCCTCAAGTGGCGCTTTCCCGAACTCTAGCCGACCTTGACTGGTCACAAATTCTAAATGTAACGCTTCACTAGTAGAATATAAAGTCGTTTTATTATATTTGCCACAAAATGTTCCTATTTCTGGAGAATCACTAGTATAACCATCATAAATCTTTAAATAATCAAACGGACAACTGAAAAATAATTCGTTATTTAATGATTTTTGGTGTAAAATAGAAATTCACTGCAGAATTGCATGAAAAACAATTTTCAATGATTCAATTTAAGGCCTATTTTTCTTCTTATGAATTTTGTAATGCAGATGGGCTAAGAAAAGGAGTGCTATCTGAAGACTGATATTGGATCTGTCACAGAAAGCAACAGATAAGACCCAGATCTATTGCCCATGGCAACTATTCCACAAGACATCACTGACGATGGAAACTGGGTTGAAGGTGTTAATTTGAAGGACCTTTCTAAACAAATGCAAGTAAAGAATCTTGATCAGTAAGCAAGACTTTGAAACTCCAAGTCAAGGCAATGGAAACATCCCCCTTTGGTTAGCATTCAAAGTTACTTAGCAACAAAATTTACTTACTATTCATCTCCATGGAATAAAGAAAAATCCACAAAAGTTAGTTTTAACCTTTGTCCAGGTTTTCCATGGAATTTATAATAACAGAACAAGTTATCTGGATACATTCCAGGATACGTTGGAGAAATGATGTATCCTTTAGTCCGAGATTCACTACGCACTGTGTATCCACAAGACATTGGTGGCGCTAATGTTCCTATATCATACACAGCTGAAATATAAAATAATTATCGTATTAGTTGATAATACAACCTGAAAATAATATCTATACTAGTTCTGTGTATTAACCAAACCAAAATATGTCTTTGTTATTCCAAGCATAGACTTGTTATCAATACTTGTAAGGGTATACTATTTTTTAAACTCTTTTGCTACAATATAAAAATTCTTCTATCAAACACGTCTCCTTAAACTGGAATTGCTCACATTTTGAATGGTCTTCACATGGTCTTAATGGTTAGCATTTTGTAACTCTGAACAGTAAAATTCAGAATGAGAAATAATAACAACATAATAAATGATATAACACTTAAATATAAATGTCTAGTCAAAACCACGTTTGGTACTGAATGGGATAAATTTAACAAGTTCTAAACTGTAACTAAAACTAATTTCAATCAAACTACAGCATGCTCAACCTATACTTTTAAACAGGGATCTGTTTACATTAAAACAGGCTATAAGTGATGCTTCAACAAACTAAACTAGGAGGTATTCTACCTTTTTTCACAATGCAAGATATTATCATTAATTTGACAATGCTCTGTTCTATAAAACTATAACTTGCCAAACATAAGTTCTATTCTAACAAAACATACAATTAAGTGTAAAACTCTCATGCTAAAATTACTTCCAATATAGTTTGGGTTTAACAACATTTAAAAATAATTTTTTTTCCTAAAACATCAAGCCTTTCATTTCTTTGTTGTTTTATTAATCAAAATTAGAAAGAAAAAAAGCTTTCTGGCTCTAATCTATAGTTATCATCTATCTGTAATCCATAGTGTTGGAAATTCTCAACAGTTACATTCGATGTTTGTTCAAGGAAACTCATTACACATGTAAATATGTGAGTATATTGTCTACACAATAAGACTTTCTTTGCCATTGTTTTAGTATCCTTTGGTGAATTTATGTTTATCAAATATAGCACAAACTATTATAAAACAAAAGGTATAATATATATATCATTCAGAAAAGGGCAACTAAATACACTTAAAGTTTTGTTTTTTTTTCAAAGTTAATAAAGCCACAAAACTATACATTATAATAACAAAATGAATCTAAAAATAATAACACCTATAAATAAAATACATGTGAGATACATAATCAAATCAAAATAATACATTGAGTTTATCTGCAAGTTGGTTTGAGCCTATGCAAAAAATTTTCTAAATATTCTTCTTTAAACTCAAAACTCATTAACTCTAAAATCAGTCATTGAGTTCCTACAAATTTAAGAATTCACATGCAAGGCTAAAGGATTGGGCACAATCTGGAAATACAACCACTAGCAAACAAATTCTATATAGCAATTAGCAAAAGTTTAATTAATTTTAATTGTTCCAAATTGATTAAAGCTAGACCGAAGTTAGAAAAAAAAGAAAGAACAGAAAGTCCAATGGGAAAGAAAAGGGGACATAACTCGAAAAAGTACCAAGACGGAAATTCTATACTTACACTCACTTACGCCAACATCTTAAAAATGATTGGATAGAAAAATAGATAGGAAATAGATATTTGCATAATTTGAAAATTCAAAAAGAAATTTGAATAAAAAAAAAAGTTTTTCAGAAAACTGCAGATGCAAACAAACAATGCTTTTGAACTTCTAAAAAATTAAAACAAAACTAGAAATTTGATTTGCAAGAATTGCACAGAAAATGTTTAAAAAATCAAGCATTGCGGCAAATTAAAAAAAAAAATCAATATCTTGTATATCAGAATCAAAGTTAAATATTCAAAACTTGCTTATATCATATATATTACATCTTGAATATACTGAATATATGGGTTTTTAAATATTGGGGGGTAAAATGGGATATAATTTTCACCAAAGCATAATATAGGTTACCAAGACCAGAGGGTAGGGCAGTTAGTATTAGTACACAGCCAACTGTGTTGAATGTTCTTCTTCATCCAAAGAAATGATCAGTCAGGGCATTGAAGACAACACCAAGGAGAATTTCCTGGGATATCAGCATGAGCCTAATCTTTTTATCTTTAACTGTTACTGGAGATCAAGTACTTCCTCAATCCAAAGGACTGTAAGCTATCTCAATGTAAACTTCCTCTGCCTGCATCAATGACTTTGAGAACCATAGAGTGAATATATTTACGTTGGATCATGCTCCAGACCCCCATGTTGGCGAGCAAGTATCTACCCCACTCTTTTATAATTAACAACAAATATATCAATATCTGTCAATGATTTTGTGTGATTTGTCTTTGAATGAAGAGAAGAACATTCAACATTTCCCTGATATTATAAAATGGACAGGTAAAACAAGTCTACTAGGTTATTAGTTGATTATTATACATCAATATAATTATGATGCAGATTATAGAGGTCAAAGGTCATTAGAGGTAGTTTAATTGTTAAAGTAAGGGTTTAATACAATGTCTCCATTTGCAACGACAATACATTTTTTGAAGTAAAGAAGATAGACGAATCCACATTTTACAACAACATCGGTTACTGTTCTGAGAATACTTTCTTCCAGTGGATTCTTACTGGAAACATTTTATGACAATATATATTCTCAAGTATCTTGTCTACCAGCTGTGGCCTTATTCTCGAAAAATTTAATTCAGATAAAATCCAGACTTAAAGAAATTGAATAATCTGATTAGATAAAAAAACAGAACTTAATATCAATTGACTAATCAAATGAGTGTATCATAGAAATCATCTGAAGTCAAGTTTTCGAGAATGAGGCCCTGAATTAGCCGTGAGAAGAATCTTGTGATCTGAATATTCTACAGACTATCTGTACCCATTTACCCTGCCTGACAGTGAAGTCCATTTTCTCATAATATTGTTTTTCCTACCCTTAAAAATCATCATCTTAAACCAATGTGAATTGAAAGACAAATTCTATAGCTTGTAAGACCTTGTTATCAGCTTTCAAAAAGGACCAATAGGCTTGAATATGGCTCTTCGAGAAAAGCAAAAGACCACTCACCAATAAAATTGTTAATGACCCCATTCTTTATAGCAAGTTAAAGCACCTCTAATGACACAAAACCAAACAAAATGTAAAACTTTCATACTTACATGCATCAAAGAATTCATAAGTTCCATTGAATCCTTTATAATTTTTACTGGCGTCGGAAAAAAATGACAACACTAACACATTGTTTCGCGACACTATTAATTTTGGTAAACTGTCACTAAGTTCCCCACAGAAACGACCCGTTAATTCGGCCTCTAGTAAATCTTCTGAATGAAATGTTAATTGTGAAAAAATATCTAAATAATCATGGTCACAACTGAAATGGAAAGAAAAAAATTACGTATTATGTTTTGTTTGAAAAATTTAATGAAATGGACATTAACGCCACCTGTATTTTCTAATAGTAGACAGTAGACAATAACCTGTAAGTGTGCAATAGAGCAAATTAAAACCAGAAAGCAGCTTCTATGCATCTTTTCTTTTTAAAGTACAAATTTTGAGTATAAGGCGTACTGTAAAAGGAAAAAGAAGTTTCTGAAAAAAATTCTTGACTTTTCATTGGAAATAAAACATAGAGAGAGAAAGATTCCAGCATAATAAGGTATCCAACACATTAATTGGCCTAAAAAAACTTGAGTAATATTCCCAAACCAAGTTCAAAAACGATAATTAATTTCCTTTCTTCTCTGTCAGTCCATGATTAAAGAATCTGCTTTCTAGTTTTTATGTTCTTTCAGCTTTTTTTCTTTCAAAAAACTGCAAGTTTTGTGGAGATTAAAGAGTTAATTATTTTTAGTTTCTAAAATAGGATCTGAATAGCTTTATGTCATGGTGACTTTTTGAGCTTAGTGTTAATTATCCCTTTATCTTTCATCAATTTTTTTATGCTTACTAGAGATAAGTCATTTGGCTTCATGATGCAGGTGCTCTAAAACACTTGTCATTGATTATGCAGTTTGATTTTTTCACCACTGCTACTTTTATTATCTTTTCAAAGACAAAGCAATTACAGTGAACCTCTTATCCTGTCAGATGCGATCGACAGAGCCTAGTCTTTACGACAAATAAGTAAAGTGTCAGGCAAAATTGTATTCAAAAAAAAAATATGAATAAAAAAAGGTTTTATTATAGAATTGGGGCTGAAAAATTACTATCAATTTAGATTATATGGGTTGAATTAATGAAGAGCAACAGAAGCAACCATATTTTACAATAGTGAAGGATCCTGTCTACCAGCTTTTTCTAGGTTAAACTTCTGAGCATTGATCTTTCCTAGATTATCCATACTTAGTTTCAGCCAGGAAGAGAAGAATAACTAATATTAACAGTATACTTACATGGGTGATCTCCCTTGAATACTAAACTGTGAAAATTTGATACGAATTCTCTCATTCTCTCGCCCCACAAATTTATATGTACAATGAACACTGTTGGGGTAATGATTAGGCCAGCCTGGTGACTGAAATGACCCGTTCTTTGATGCATTTTTATATTCACTGGATATGATATGCTCACAAACTGAAAAGATAAAATAAAACATACAATTTATTAATACTGACAGACAAGCATGAAACAGTTAGTTTAAAATATATTTGGTTAGTTAATAAAACAAAAATGTCAATCACTTTTAATTCAGAAATAAAAAATTATGTGACACATTGTTGGTTGGTTTCATAAGTTGCTAGCAGGAAATTCAAGAGCATGTAGTTATATGAATGTAAATGTATTATGGTAGGTTTTATAGTTTGCTATATGATGATGATATGTGAGGTACCCAGTGACAGAACAGAACGATGCTTAAGGAACATGGTGACAGAAAGGCAAGGAACATGGTGACAGAAAGGCATGGAACATGGTGACAGAAAGGTATGGAACATGGTGACAGAAAGGCAAGGAACCTGACAGAAAGGCAAGGAACCTGACAGAAAGGCAAGGAACATGGTGACAGAAAGGCAAGGAACATGGTGACAGAAAGGCAAGGAACCTGACAGAAAGGCATCAGCTGTTTCTGCAAGCTTTGCTAATAACAACCTTCATTTTTTTAGTGGAGCTGTAATCTATATAATGTTTTGCAAATATATGTAACTTTATTGTTTACTGATAGTATTCTTAAGATGTTAAATGATAGGTGTATGAAACCATCTTATTAACTATTCTGTTGATAAAAATTCTCTCTTTGAAACAAATTTTACCAATTAGGTGTGACACATTCCCTCAAATGTCAAAATATCAAATTGAAAAGTTCATAATTTGTCTTAAAAGTGTCAATTTTCTAAATTTAGGTTATTTGACCTTTCAGGCAAGTCTGACCTTCAAAAAACATGTTATTCAAATTACATATTGTTCAATTATGTCACTTACTGAAAGTGAATCCTCCCACAAAAAATAGATCACAATTCAAATTAAATTCGACAGAAAGAAGTCAACTATAAAGGGTGGTGCTCTTGTCTATTAGATTTACTTGTCCTGAACAGTAACATGTCCATTTACAGCAAATGTTGACATGTAAACTAAAATGGTTAACTCATTAACAGCAAAACACTGTGGAGTTAGCCTTATTTAATTGTTACTTGTCTTTTTTAAGAGTCAAAAGAAGACTTTCAGCCCATGTCTTAAGATTGTTTAAGTGCAATATAATACATCCACACTAATCATATAAACTAACATGGAGAGTTTGGGCTTAGCTTTCTATACATGGTAACGTAGGCCCACAAACAGGCTTATCTTACAATGTGACACAATCATAACACTTTACACACTTAGGATTTTCAATATGTTTTGCTTAAATATTTAACAGAGAACAAGAGGAATTGCTCATTGCTATTCTATTTTTTGTGTAGAATGGCTCCATATTTTGAAGCTTTCTAGAATAGTTCAAATGGAATAAGATTTTAAAAACAAAATTTGGTACAAAATCAGTATATTGAAATGCTGAAAGCAACATCTTAGAATGAAAAGACAAGTGTCTTTTGAACTTATAGGATGTTGGTGGAAAACTGAATGACACAAAATTGGCAGCTATCAGTAGGTTTGTTAAAATAATAGAAATTTAAGAAGTTATTCAAACATGAATCAATTTTGTTCTAAATGTAACTAAAAAATTGTTACATGTTAAGTTTCAAATTCAAAAATGTCTACACAATTATTTTTTTTATCTCACCAAGTTTTTTTTCATTTAACAAATTCTTTACAGTGCCAAAAATATCAACAAGAATCTTTACATAAAAGACAAAAATAAACACAAAATGTATTTTAATCTTTTGAAAATAAATGTTTGTAAGAAATTTGTTGAAGTGCACTAAGTAGATTCTTTTTTTACCTACAGCAGTCTTGTAATCTGAACTTGATGGATTGTAAAGAGTATTTGAGAGCATAGAAAGGATTTCCATAACTTACATTGGCTTGACTTCATTGGAAATGAAATGGAATGAGAGTTTTCAGTCATACTTTTCTGGACCTAATTGAGCTAATGAAGACGGGCAATGTCATGCTGTATGCAACGAGGACCACTTTGTCAAGACAGCAGCGGGATCTTTAATATACATAACCTGTAGCGCAACTGTCTTAACATAACAACAAGGGGAAACTGGGTTTAAAATTTGAAGATATATCTCCACCTATTATTAGGTAGTGTCAGAAATAAGCACTCTGACAGAGTTTTCCAATTATACATCTTAACTTGATTTAATGAGAAAATATTCACTTCAGTCTGGTCTTTAATTTTGTGAGGTACACCTTATCTGATGTCCCAGGTTCTTGATAAAATTTTGAATCTCAGAATGCAAGAAGTCGTAGTCTCAGACTAGAATTTATAATTGAGACCCAGGAGGTACCAAGATAACTATCTTTGTTAACATGTTAACATCATGTACAAGATAAATATATAATTTATATCAGATAAAAACTATTTGTTTTGTCTTCAATGATAATAACTGCTTTGATGTAATAGTTATCACTTGGCACTATGAACCACTGTATATGAAATAGTTATCAAGTTGGCACCATCACACTTTATAGATAAAAGCACATGCATGGTGAGACTTATTCACTAAGTATATCATACTTGTACATATAGTTCCAACTTTGAATAATAGCATTTTTGTGTATGGAAATTTAGGGTTTACTTAAATCAAATTGTTACTAAAAGTTTCAAAAAACAAGTCACTGTTAAATCTCAACTCAAACATAGGTGTACAAAAATCAAATGCTGACAAACTAAAAGTTGAACAGACAGAAATTTTTGATGCAACCTATTTCCCAAAGATCAGCTGTAACCACAAAAACAGGATGTTGGATTCCATCGTCATGCTTGAAGGTGATTTGTTTTATTGTTATACAAGATATTTCTGAAATATTACTTCTCCATTCCGTTCCCTTTTCATAGCAAGAGAAAATATATGAACTAAACGAATTACTAATTTATAACAGTGCTAACATTTAATCCCATACCAATTAGTATTATTATTATAATTAAAATGGAAGAATGTTTTTTGAAAATTTTGACACAATGATTACTTCCTCCATTACCTTGATAGACAAAACCAAGAATTACTTTTACAACTTATAAAAATTGATTCATTTGAGTAGCAGAGATCTTTGTTAAATTTTCTTGTTTTCTGAAGCTGGCAAATACTAGTTCTTCAAGATATTCTCTCAAGATCTTCAGACAATTCTAATAAAAACAATCAACTGTCTAGATTAACCAGATCACTTTGATATTTACGACAGAAAATAAAAAGCTACGTTTTAATCCATTACCAGTTCAGGGAAATATTTAGTAGTGTGTAAAATGTCTGTCACTTCAAGCCATACTGTTAACCTGTCATAGCATCTTTATTTTCACTGGCATAGGAATATAAACTATATCATAAACTCAACTATAACTGACAAGATGTTGCTGGGAACAATGGTGATTCAATACTCGTTAAATTCCATCAGGTTTTATTAGCTGTTTATTAACAGTTATTACCAAGTAGGTTTTGCAGAGTTTACGAGTGAGGCAATAGACAGAAACACGAATTAACATTTAAAACCTTTTATTTGAGTGGACAAAATGGCATAAAATTGCAAATTGTCTGGTGCAAAGTTTTATGTGCTGTAAGGTAAGTCACATAATGAGAAAGATATGTTTTAAGAGGTAGTAAAAGGAGGAGAATTGATTTTGAAATATCTGCTGCAAGGTAGAACGAGGAAGAGGAAGGATTTTTCATGGAAGAGTTCAGAGCCAACATCTTGAAATCACGTACGATTACAACAGAAATTTCAGGAATATGGTGCCTAATTGAGTAGCAGACAACAATCAAAAGTCTTACTTTTTCATGCAGGTGTTCAAGCTTTAAAGACATCAATGATCAACGTGATGATGTTACAGCAGTGACAAGCTGTAACCTTGCCTTATGAGCCTTGATCAGGATTCAATATGGCCGACATGTTAATAGGGTCTAAGCCTTGTGTACATTTCATTTGGGGTATATGAACACTGTATGCTAATATGATATGTGTATAATCTACAGCATTAATCTTCAGACCTACAGCAGATACACTGAGTTTACCTCTGAATTATCTATAAACTTGATAAAATGACATTTACACTACAGAAATTTAGAAGTAGAAAGTTGACATGGAGGTGTTTCAAAGTCGTAAATTGTATATTTTTTCAAATTGAATATGCCAGAAGAAAGTTGTTATTTTTTAAAAGGAAATTGAGTGATATTTTATGTGATGTAAGACTACTTTAACATCAGATTAAATCTTTCATAAAGAATTCCATCTAAAAACAGACTTTTTATAACATGAAAAATTTATGTGGTTTCATTTTCTTCTTTTATCATATAAAAATGGTCTGGATAAAAACAGTAAGACATTAGATAATCTGACATAAAGAATGAGGTCTTTGTCTGTAAGAAGCTATATGATAGATTTTCTCACGAAAAAAAGAGAGGATTTCAGTTTTTACTTTTCAGCCATTTAGATATTAAAATGAAGATTTCTCAGCTGTAAATTTGTTAAAAAAAATACATATTAGACTCCATTTTGATATTTTCTTATCACTGTACAATTAATGCACATTTTTAAAGAATGACAAGAATGCATTATTTCTTGATAATAATTTTGGTTCACATGCAATTTTTTGTTGAGCAGTTTGCCAGATATTTTTCCAAGATTTTTAATACCCATTTAAAGCTGAGTGGACTGGAATAGTCAGAAAAGATGATTTTAAATTAGGATCTGAACACTTTGATTTGGCTAATGAAGGAACCATGCAGTTTACAATAAGGAAATTTTTTGATTTCCAACTGTCACTTGATCTTTAACATGTGTTGCCTGTGGGACACAGAGTTTTGTTTTTGTTCCATCTAAATTAAGCTTTTTCAGTGTCAAACCTTATAGAAACAGGAAGTCACAATCTAGATCTAAAAAGTGGTACAGGAAGCAGAAATTTAACTTAATCAATCAAATATTTATATAAATATCAATTCTCAGCATTCGTCTAAAAAAATAAATATCTATAGCTGAACATCAAGTGATATTTTTATACCAGTAAAGTTTAAACAGTTCCACCCATACATCTATTACCAATATTATTTCTACAAGCAAAGTTCATACTATTCCTCACTAATATATCATTAAAATATATTCAAAAAGCAAAACAAGTCTGACCTCTAGAGGTCAAAATCTTCCACCCTTCAGATATTCAATTCCTGGGAATGTTTATTTCTATTTCAATTTGAATAGAACATGTTAAAATGGATCAGTAAACTTGGTAACTCAAGTATTTTTCTAGATAACAAGTCAATATGTTCTGTCAATATTCTCTATGGTATGTTTATACATGGAGATTCCAAGAAATTGTAATTTGCAGGATTGAGAATTATAAGGACAAGAGAAACAACAGCATTCATATCAAACACAACTTAAAATACATCTAGACAAAAACATTGTGCAGTAGTGGAAATCTTTCTGTATTATCACATAAAGTAAGATAATTTGATTGGAAATATTGCATGAACAACATAAGCGTTCTCATAGTCCATTTCAAACTGCTGAAGATCAATGATGGGGGGAAAGCACACCATTGAAATTTAACCTTAACCATTATCATACAATGGTCAAAGTTGAGAAGACCTAATTCTACAGAGCAAGATATGAATTAAAATTTATTTTACTGTTATCTTGTTATAAACTAAAGAAATTTAAATCAATTTGTCCTTTGTAAAATGCTGTATTAAAGTTTATTGAAAATCAATATTTTAATTTAAAATGTGTTAATATCAGAATATGCCATGTTGTTTTTTCTAGAACTAATTTATTGATTACCATCAAATCAAACACTTAAACTTGTACATTATTTAAAATACTAAAAAACCGGAAGCCTTAAAACTGGCAATTCCAAATTTTGTTGTTTTATATCAAACGCTCATTTTTGCAAAATTTCTCTTCCATATGGCATGTGTAAGTAATAAGCCAAATAAAGGAAAGACAAGCAGAATGTCAAACTGTTTCATTTGGAACTTTTATTCTTGTCTTTTCATTTGATTCTAAATAAGAGTAAGAAATTTAGGTACTCTTCTCAGACAGGGGCCGATTTAAATAAGATAGCATCCAGATTTTATGATTGGATAGTAGAGAAAAAAACGAAATTTAATATTGAATTTAGTTATTGACCAATCAGATGCGGGGAAAGGCAAAATTATCTCGAATTTTCAAAAATTTGGCCCTGCAACTGGAAAATATGATTAAATATGTCATGGAGCAACTTTAACCAAGTCTTCAAGTAAGTCAAGTCATATAATCAGACTATCTATAATTTGTCTCATTAGACTCAAATCATAGTTTGTATCTAAAAATGGTTTAATATTTTCAGTGATTTAAAGGTAAGCATTGTCTAGTAATTCTAGATTTAAAATGTTATCTTGATGTACCTGTTGAACCACCATAATAACACAAAGACACATTATTAAATTAAAGCTACATAGTTGGAAGTGATGACTCTTTTTTTTTTGGATTCCAGGGCCATAGTATACATGTGGAACAGAAACAATTCTTAAACTCTTAAATTTACAATTACTAGAGTGGGTATCCTAGCAATGAAGGATATGATCACAACTGTCTTTTGGAGTTTTGTTAATTTTTTTTTTATCAATTTCAACAGTCCTCAAATAGCAGTTACTAATAAGCTCAATGAAAACTGTAGTTTCAGATGCCTTTTGTCCACATCATTTTTAGAGTTTTAGAGAGTTCTCATATCTAACAACGGTATAGTATTCAGTATCAGCTAAAATCATTACAGATGTAGATGCCACTCTCCAACTGCCTTTTCTAAACTCTTGTTTTAGAGAGTCTTCATACTTTCTAATGCTGTAATTTGTTAATTTTGTCTACCCAATATGGAACAGCAATGGTAATCAGATGCCACTCTATGATTGCCTTTCAGAGAGTTCACATATAATAATTCTACTTTGTTAAGTTAAGCATTAATCTAGTCATCCAAAAGGAGCAGTCAATTCTCTAGCAACTATACAGTTTCAGACATTAACGACCCAATTCAACCAAACTTCCTAAATTATTCTCCTACTTTCTACTTGACTACTTTGAACATTAAAATATTGACAGCTTTGCACTGCCGATATAAATTTGATCAGAAGATTAGCGAACTGACATGTTCTAAGAAGAAAAGAATCTTTAGATCCACGCTGGAACCAGACTGGCTTGTGATGTAAGAAAAGAAAGTTTCAGTCTACTAGAAAATCTTTCAGAGATTACAGTGATAAATCACAAACTCTCTCAGAATATAGCCTCATATTTCAACAAAGTTATTGAACTTTTAAATGGAGGTTTACACTTAATGGTTACAATGACTTTAAAATAAGTTTTACCGTTGTAATGAAGTTAAATGGATTTTGAGGATGGGAGGGTGTGATTCTCTTGAAACTAACAGCTTAAATTTTAAAATTTAGACTTACTGGATATACCTCTGTTCATTCTGATGTTCATCCTTTTTAAGTGAAAATAGTGCTTCAAACCACAAGATAAAGTGAATTAATGTACTTATCATCCCAAATATAAAAAAAACTACTTTGTATCTTTCTGATCCCTAAAGACATTTTTAAAAACTATCTCAATCAAAGTTTTTCTGATGAATGGTTTATTTTGACAAGTAACACGAAAATACTATTTTCATCAATCTGACAGATTTTCAAAGAGAGTTACCAAATCACCAGAGATATGAGCAATATTATCTTTACTGCTATATGTTTCTTGTCATGTAACTTTTCCCTTGATGAAAATTTTGGCATCATTTTAATTTCCATTTTGCAGATTGGCCTACAACTAAGTGAAATATCATTTGTTTTTGCTGGCATACTTTCAACTTGAATTAGCATTTTTTTTTTTTGCACATAAAATTTAATTTGAACATGGCATCTAATATACCAGCTGATAGAGCATCATTTTAAATTCAAGTTTCATTACCAGACTTCCTTATACACTTCAATTAAATTAATAACAGCTCAAAAATGTGTTTTCATTATTAATAATCTGTCTAGAACTTGCTTCTCAGTGATCTAATGTCTGAATTTTCATATACCGGTCTACCAAAAATCTTATACAATAAAAATTCATACAAGCAAACCAATTCTGTTAGCCAAAAATCCTGACAAAATCAGGAGTGATAATTGTATAGTACAGGATTCCTTAAACTAGAGGTACCATCAGGTGTTTTTAAGAGAATAAGCATGGTCTGCTTTGCAAACAACATCCACCACTACTTTTTAGGCAAAAGATATATTATGAGATACAACCAGATCAATTCACTTTTGGTTAAAAAAAAGAACCACAATGCTCAGCAATAAAATTCAGTCCATGAAAAACAAACATTTCTGAAACCCAATAAGGATTGTCGATACAGGGATTTTTATTGTATAAGATTTTTGGTATATATGAAAACCTAGCATTTGTCCTTTACAATATACATTCTGGAAATACCAAGAAATGGCTAGAACTATACAGATTTGTTTGGCCATTTGTCACACAGAATCAATAAAGGAAATGTTTTGTTATTAAGAAATCTATTAAACTACCATTATCTAGGTCCACTATTCATACCAAGTTTTTTATATGAGATTAAACACTGGTCTTTATTGATCACAGTAATTACATACTAGGATTGTTAATTTATGGCATTCCATAGCCATTTCTTGATCAGATTTCAAGCTAAAGAAATATAGTTTATCAAATTCTTGAAAAATCTAAAGGTCTAATTTTTATTTAATTTTTTTTTTAACACCAATCACAATTCGACCGAGTTCTACAATTTATGACCTCTAGCCGTACTAGACCTTGTAGAGTTCATGCAACTGGAAAATATAGCTAAATCCATAAATCCAAAACTCATCCCAGAAGACATGGGGATTGTTACATTTCTTACCAAGGAAGAATTGAGGAGTTTGCTGAATAATCTAAATCCACAAAGAATATTATCTTTCAGTGGATCAAACTAGTTGAAAACAAAACCCTTGACCTATCATAATCAAAGACATAAACTGTAGCCTTTTATTGAATACGGTCAACCTGAAGAACAGTTAAATTGACTTATCTAATTTCTAACACAATGTAAACAGTACAAATAGAAGTATGAATACATGTTGAATAATACTGATCACTGGACCTAGACTTGTAGTCTTGTTTAAATGTTTCCATCCATTAGTCCCAGACAACCAGACACTCATCTATTCAATAACTCTTGTCTACTAATAGTCTCAGACGACCAGATGATTTCATCTGATTATTCAGTGATAACAGTTAGCCTAAGTAACTTTCAGACCAATTTCACACTCTGTCCAATATTTTGGTTTATTACTAAGACCAACAGGCGTAAAATGTTTTAATGTTCTGAATGCCTGAAGTGTTATATCTAATAATTTAGTGACAAAAATCTCATACCAAGACCACTAGTGTGCCCACACCTTTACAAATGGTTTCAATGCAGATTAAGTGAAAGAACAACTCTTGTAAAATTACTTTAAATGGTTAGGATTTGCTGGTCTAGTAACTTCTATGAGTTTCTCAAACAAAAAGTGTCAACCATTTAAGCAGAGACATAAAATCGCATGTGTTCTAAAACTAGTCACTGAAGCACATCTGCGGAATGGGGAGAGTATACTGTAAGTTCCTAGGTCCTTACAACTCAACAAATCTAATATTTTGGATATAATAAATTTCATACCCTCAAAAATAGCTAGCCAAACTGAGTTGCCCAATACAGAAAGTGATCTACATAAGTTCACAAGTGTTATATTTATGGTCTGTCATTTTGTATTGCAGACTATATTACAGTAGCTGAATGTTGGGGAAGGTGTCAAGATCAAGACAAACCTACTGCAACATTTTCTGGCAAGCTTTTTAAAAACTTGGAGGTTGTGACAGATCAGAAGGTAAGTGGACAATGACAGGTGTCCAGTAGTAAGAATAGTAATTTGTTACAAGTAGACATGCTCTATCCTTTACCTTCCCTACAAGATAGATTGATCAAGTCATAATGATTGCTCGTTTGACTTCTATCAATGACCAGCGAGGTGAAAATCACCTTGTACACATACAATTGATAGTGACAATACAAGAAAAGTTTGCATATTCATGACTTATTCGACTGAATCTGACATTAATGTATTGAATTCTTGACCAGTCAAATTTAATGGTTCTTATTTACAGCAGGTCTCACGGAAGAAAGCAAGGGTGATCAATCAGAGTTCACTTGGAGAGCTCATGATGGAAAGTAAGGGGTGTTTATTTTAAAGACCATGCTCATCAGTAACCATAGAAATTAAATAATATAATTACCAGGCGAGTTTTACCTACTTTTTTTCACCTGATTAAGTGAATCAGGATAGGCAAAAGCATACCCTGATAAATAAGGAAACTCTTTTCGCTTTTAAACTTTTGATGGATCAACAGATTTTAATGGGGATAATCTGGATGGCTGTTCAAAAAAGAGAATATTGCCGTATTTGTGTCAGAAATTACATGAATATTTGACAACCATGTCCTTCTGTGGTTCAAATCATTATTGACTTTGACTGGAAACATAAAGTTCATTCAGTACTAATAAGCTGTTGTCTCAAATATCACAGAATAGCTAGTACAATGAACAATTTCATAATCATATTTAATCAATAATTTCCAGTCCTGTAACTATCTTTAAAAAATGTAAAAAGGATACCAAACCTTTTTTGAATTTTTGTTCTAAATAAGTCATTGCACTTAAATCTTTCAATAAAAATTTATGATATAAGCTTAAATATCATGAACATAGCATTAGATTCAATTACTTGAAAATTATACTTAAAAATTTATAATCATATTTGATGAATGATTTTCCAACCATCTTCTTCAAACAATATGAAAACCTCTTGGTAAGAACACATTAAATCAGTGGACTATTGAACCATTATCTATTTCTATCATAGCCCTAGGTAATATCCAACTCCATTAGTCTTTCCCATTGAAATCTTCTGGTATATTTAGAACAAATATGGAAGGAAACAAAAAGTAAACTATTACAAGTACAAGGATAAATGGGTGATCAAGGGCATAGGAAATATATTTTTAATGTGGTACAGGTACTCTGATACACTAGATCAAAACCTTATTATGAAATATGAAAAATTGTTTCAACTGAGCTCTCTTACCTTAATTTATTGATAAAAGAAAATCTGTCAAAATCTAGGGAAACAGATATTAAGATCAAATATTAAACAAAACTTTAACATTAACACCACTATACATTCATTAACTATCTGAACATTTCTCCAGCTATTAGTTTCAAATTGTATTTCAGTAAACACAATTTTTGAAATGTTCCAGTTTTGATGGGAATAAACAGACATTCAATGGTTTTATTGCAGCTTAACTGACAACATGCTATTTGAAATCAAATGAATACAGTTCATGAATTGTCCCTGTTCTATGATTGCTCAATAAGGGATGAGCATTTCTCAAACCCTTTAACTGGTAAGATTGAGTGATATTATGAACCATAATGTATTGTCCAATTAGTATTGAACTATTGTTTTATCATCACAAGACTCATTGAAATTCAGTGAACACAATCTCACTTTACATTACGGGTTGGCCATTTCTCAACCTTTTATTTGTTGGAAGGAGTACTATTTTCTTTTGTGAATACATATCCTAAATCTAACTTGAAATTCTCTACAATCTGAACAGAGCTCACTTCCAACATGGAATGTTCTTCACTACAGCTCTAAGATTTGACATAGATTCAAATAGTTTGAATTTTCAACACCTGAGCTCTATTCCTTTATTCTTCATGTTATCATAAAAATAACTTATCTGGTTTCACTTAGTTTAAAAATGCCTTGGTTTACTGTTTATATGCAACTTTGACTTCCATTATTGTTTAACTTTGTTGATTAAGTCAGGATGGTAAAACAGAAGTTTTCTAAACAGGTAAGGATTTATTTATTTTTAAAAAATACATCTAATACTCTCAAAATTCATCCATAAAGTTTCAGTGGAATTGCAGGAACCACAGTCGTCTGAATGAAAATTAGAATGGTGAAAATTGATGCAATCAGTGTCCCCTATACACATAAATATCTCTACAATCCCTTTAAGCCATTTTCCCGATCGAAAAACGAAGAGAAAATATCTTTTTAAACCAATCAGATATTGCCATTATAACCTCTAATGTTGTCATCAAACTATCAACCAAAAAGACAAGATAATAGAGTCTAACAGACTTTGACGACCAGTAAATCCCCTAAAGCCATTTTAAGAGTAGTCGAGACTAGACTAATGACATAAGAGTAAGATTATCCAGACATGAATAGGTTGTTTCTACAACCCTAGAGTCTCGTAGCGTTCAAAAAGTTACAGACACATTTTCCATTTATTTATAAACAAATTATACAGTTCAGTTTGAAATGGAATTAGATTTAAAGCTTTCGTGATTTTTGTTCTCATAGTTCTTATATGAATATTATGAGACCAAAATTCCCTAAAGTTTCAAATCAAATTTCAAATCAAATATCTATATGGAAGGAAGTAATTAGGCTGAAATTGAATATATGTTATATATATATATACAAATTCTAATACCAAAGTCTCAATTATTGTAACATTTGTATTAGATATTCAGTAGAATTTCACATTTTGAATATTCAAAACTTTCAGACCCAAATCTCCAAATTTTCTCATGTCCACATTCTCTCATCTCAATAATAAAATATTTGGAGGCTGTTGGCCAAATTCCCCAAACTTTCTTTTCTGATGTCTCGTGTGCTAATAATATATGTTTAATGTATTTTATATACCAGATCAACTACAACACATTACAACACAACAAAAAAAAACAGAACAAGATAAATTGAATAGACAATATATACTGGGTAGTGTACAACACAACAAGACACAACATCCTATGACTGGACAAATTGAAATTGAAGAAAAATATTTTCAATCGTTTGATTACGTATGGTCCACTTCTGATGTGAAGCTACTGAAGCAATATTTTATTGTTGTGCTGTTTCAGTCATCTGGTGTGTTATGACATTGTGTACTATAAAGGCTGAAACTTTCTGTTCCATGTCAGCTGTCCTCATGAGAGTTTTATAATTTTTAAATGATTCACGTACTTAGTGAACCTTCTGTACCAATCTATTTAAATTGCCATTAACATCTTTAATACTGGCAACAGATTGTTTTCAACTTACATAATTTCTATAGCTATACAGAATAATTAACAAAAAGCTTCAATGATAAACTTTTATTAAAAAATGTCTAGACTGTAATTAAATACTTGAACATATGATATGAGAGTTAAATTTGTTAAACAAATATTGATTTTTTGAACAATGACAAAAATAATGTGCAAGTTGATAATCAACCTAAAATTAAAAATTTGAAAGTACTTCCTCTCCCTAACAATACACAATATCTACACATCAGTCAAGAGATGTTTGTATTGACTGAAAAAAACTGACTGTATTTTTTCAATATTTTGACAGTAATATATGGTGTATTTTATCAATAAATATTACAGGTTGTAGCACTTCAGCTGTAAAATCTCATAAAGAATTTTTGACTGAACGTTTACTGAGAGTGTAGATTTGGATAAATGAAATAGATCTACATTTCAGACATTGAACATTTATTTATCAAAATATTAATTAAGTTTTTTGAAGACAAGACATATAAATACAAGACATAATAGACATATAAATACAAGCTATATAAATACATCTCTATCTCTTCTCAATAGATTTTTAGACCACGGAGAAAGAAAAATGTTACAGGATTTCTGTATTTATACATTGTGCAAACAACATGTTTAATTACTTTATATTTGAAAGTAGTAGACTGAAATACAATGAAAGGAGATATGAAAATATGTGCAGCAAAGACAGTATTTTCAGGGAAGTGCCATATGCAATTTATATTTTGATCTCCAACCACCAAAGGATCTTTAATATGCACAAGTCACAGTATAAATTTTATTCGAGGAATGGACACTTGTCATGGCAGGTCCTTCAACATCACTGGTACTGGTTTAAAAATAGAATGGTACTATCTTGACTCATCCTGTGTTGAACCACCTACATAGCTGCACCTAGGACCCAAGTATATCACCAATGTGTCAGTGTGGTTCTTAGTTAATTACAGAGAGAAATACTTAATGAACTGATTAATTTTTATATGTAAAGCTAAATATAGAGATGTAGATGCACACCATTGCACAAGTCAGATAATTAAATACATTACACTAATTACATATCAAGATAATTAATAATATAATAAAAATAAGAAATACAGACAAGTTTTAATGAAAGCTAGATATTAACTGATTTACCAACTATAAACTAACTGGGTGCATTTCATGATTAATAGACAAACTGGAGCCATGTGAAGAAAACTTTTATTGAGACATTTTATTTGCAAACACTATTAAGTGTTACATTTCTGTAAAATCTTCAGGTGCATAATTGTGTCCATTAGGGCATAGTGTGCTAAGTAATGGTTAAATCCTATTCAATGAAGCAAAGCAACCGAGCCCACTTCTGAAACATTAAAATTGTACTTAATATGATCTAACTTACTTAAAACCTAACACTAGCTGTCAGTCAAAATGTCACATGATTATGAAATTCTTAACCATTAAGAACCATCCACTTAATAGAAAATTTAGCCAATGCTGATTAAATGAAAAAGGTGGGTTAGGTTCTAAATACTTGAAGCACATAAGAAGTGTTAGCACCAAAAACATTTATTCTAAAAATAATCAAGTAGAGCATTGTGATCACTGAAAAATGACATTGTACCAAGAGCAGTTCTTTGTTAATGAGCATCCATGTTGGGTATAATAAATTTATTCAGTTCTATATAAGAAACAAGAGCAGAGATGTAATGCATTGTACCAAGAACAGTAGTCATATGCATGTGATGATGACCTATGATGCCCCTCAGAAAGTCTACAAGTCTTAGAGTTAGAAGTTTTTTCTGAAATGTAACCTAAATGTCGCTTAAGTATAATCATTAATGACATTCCTTTGGAGTTTTAATCCTGAAAGTCTATGACAAGTATCTTTCCACTCCAAACACCATTTATCAAATTATTATTCATTTTCATGTTGAAAAGTAAGATTTAAGAGAGTTACAGCTTACTGATGGTTTTTAAATTAGACAGTCTAGACGAGAATTACTAAAATATAAATCACTAAAGATAAGAACAGTTCAATAAATATCCTTTTAACATATGGGCATATGTAATATATTACCAAGGTTATATACAATATGTATATTATGAATATTAGAGTGAAAATTGATGAGAGAACATCATAGGTTGTCAACACATATTCAACTTAAAGGCCATAATGGTGTTGAATTTTCAATTAATATACAAAAGATTTATTAATTTAAGGATGGGAATAAACACAGATTTAGTTGGTATAATTCAAACAAAATGGTTTGTTTAAAGACATACAATTAAAAAAGACTGGAGTTTGCAATTTAGACTCAACAACTGATCAAGTTGTGAAAACAAGGAAACAAATTAGAAGTTCAGTCTTATGAACAGGGTCAAGTCAAACTGGCTAAGCAAGGGAGGATACTCTGGATGACATGATATTATCTGTATCAAAGACAACTGTTTAAGTTTGAACCAGAACCTGCCATAAAACTTTGGTGATTAGAGGCAAACTATAGATAGCTCATGAAAGGACCTTCTATAATACCATGACTTGTTTACAATTAAAAGAACACATTGAAACCAGTACTGTAGTTGTTGATTTTTTTTATTATTGCCTTGGCGCTAAAAAATTGCTCAAGTAAAATATGCTGGTGGTAGGTAAAAAATATTTCTACCTACACCAGGACCTAGTCACAATTCCAGATTTCATGAAGCTTGCACACACCCTCTTCAAAATTATAGAGGGAGATGAATTCACTGGAAATTAAATTGCAATTCTTGATCAGTTAAGCTTAAGGTTTCAAATCACCAATCGCGATTCTCATTATTTAAAAGATTTAAGTTTTCTAGAAATGTGGCTCCAGTATTCATTACAAAATAGCTTCAACAACAATAAGTGAAAATAACAAAGTTTTAAAAAATTAAAAAACTCATTTTCTTGAGCGTGTCTCAATATATATTAAAATATTATTTGTAAAAGTATTGATCTCACGGCGCCATCTGGTAGAATGATTGATTACTCCCATCATATCAATATACAAGATTTATACCCCAACTTCCTTTGATGTTATTTTATCCCATTTTACATATTTATTCCATTTTAATAACACAAGTTCAAAGTGAACAATTTTTCAATTCAAAAAAGTGATGAATACATTTTAAAGAAACTTCTAGTCAAAAAAAGGATAGCTTCAGTTCTTGGAAATAACGTACAAGGTGGGCCAATGATCTTTCTGTGATTTTCATTGACAGCTTTGATAACTGTAAAGAAAGTGGATTTATTCAAACAGGGGTAACAAAAGAACTGTTTTTCCTCAATTATAGATTGTGTAATACAATATCTAATACGATTGGCCACACAAATTAAAATGATGTAAGTTCATGGAGAATCACATTGATTCAACTACAATGTCAATTTCGACTTGTAAATTTGGACTGTCTTGTTTCTTGCATAATCTTTATGTCCATATTGGAAGGGAACCACTGTAACAGATGTTTGGCCTAGTTTTATCAATGTTTAGAATCAATACAGTCAGGATTTATTCAGATAGAAGATTTGTTTGTGTCTGGTGATGAGATAGTCAACTGTTTGATTAATATTTTGATATTGAAACAAGAGTCTTCGTTCTGATAATTATACAAATATTGCCGAGCTTTGACCATTATATCTGGAAGTATTATTGCTGAATTCTTAATTTTTTTAGTTGAAGACATTTAGAGTTGTAGTCTGGCTCTACTTTAAAGGGATATAGCTGCCTAAATATATTCTGAAAGTTTGACTTGTTAAATACATACCACAAAATGAGAATGCCGAAATCATTCTTAAAATATCAAAATCTTAAGAACCTTGCTGCTATTTAAGAAAATATATTATGTTTGCTTCAAAAATCAACAATGCCTTCTTTTAACAAAATGGCACGTGCATATCGTTAAGAAACAACATGATCTATTTAAACCTGGACATGTTGATAAATTGAGTTCATAAAGTAAGATGAAAGGACAGCTTGTAGTATATTTAAAATTTCCAGTTACTTATTTCAAAATTCTCCACAGCTGATTAGTAAGGCACAATAGAGTCAGTCTCAAGGTGGGTTTGTACCAAAGCTAATTTGTAACCATTTCAGGTGCATTTTGATATATCACATCAATGACCCCCTGCTCAGACCAACCCTATGATCAGTAAAGTAACAGCTAGTCAAAGAGATCTGATAAAGTCTCATCCTTTATGAGATCATTAGAATTCGATCTCCAATCGTCTGCCTTCAAATATCAAATTATTATCTAATATATTCTCACTTAAATTGCGCGAAAATTGGTAGTAAAAATAGTCGAAGACAGCCTCAAAATAGTTACCAGATCAATCTTAAAGAAAATGATTGAGAATGAGGCGAAGTTTATTGGCTATTATTCAGAAATAAGGACCAATTGAATTGTCTATATCGATATTTCTTTGTGAAAAATGCCGAGATGGTGACTACTGATTATTCCTCTAAATTGAAGATTACCAAGAAAATAAAAGTTTTTCTTTACGGCTGACATTTGGGAGGTTATTTTCACTTCCAATGTGGTTCAGTAAATCAACTGAGAATTGATTGTTTTATGGTTTTAATGCTTTTCTTCTTCTAAACCAAATGGATAACACTGTCAAAGGCCAGGGTTTGCTTTAGGGAGGCCAGTGTGTGCAATTAATAATCTTGAAAAACAGAACAGCAGCATGTGCCCTTGTGCATTCACTGATCCTGATAACAGCACTCTGCCAGCACTCCTGATAACAGCACTCTGCCAGCACTAATCCAGCTGCCTTCTACGAACATTAAGAGTTTGTTGTCTCAATGGTTTTGCATATCATCCATAAAACAGAAGAC